AAGGTGTAAGTAATCTCACATCTAGCTCAGCAAAAACATTTTCTCATGACTTCTATCACTAAGCAATAAAATAAAGCTTATGTGACAAAGTTATAGACATCTACGTAATAAGATCTCCGAGATGTAACCACAGAAACCGCAGCCAGTGCATTTTGTATTAAACAAACAAGTTAACAGAATTTATTTATAGCATTTTAGTGTCATATTTGATACTATTATGATTACAATACGTATCATATTTGTGAAAAGTACATACTTACTTATGACCTTTTATTTCATAACGGGGGGACACATTAGGATGCCTAATTTTTTTTTAACATGGCGTGTAACTTTCTGAACACCACCAACACCGCCTTACAACCAAGCGAACGGCCACCATCATTCACGGCGTTGTCTATTATGACATGTACTTGTCTAATAGGGATATAATCATAGTCTGTTCTGCTCTGCCCTTGCGCTCAGAAATTACACATAAAAGTACTTTGCAAACCATGAATCAACAACTTTTTCACATTACTGTGATTTTTTTCAACGCAAAGGAGAAGACGGATTACCTGACGGTAAGCCATCGGCACTGCCCATGGACACTCGCAACACTAAAGGATTTACGAGTGCGTTGCTGGCCTTGTGGGTTAAGGGTTTCGGATATTTAAGGATAGGGGAGGCAAAGAAAGATTGGACATCCGGTAACCACACTCACACGGTGGAACACAATGCTGTGGTTGTTTCACATCGGTTTTCTATGGGGCCGTGATATCACTTCGGTCGCGCAGACCCATTCGTACCGAAGCATAACTCTTCCTTGTGTGATGAACTTTTTGGTAGAGCAGCCTGCCTGCCAACTGCAGGTACCTGCCAGTATTTAAAGTCAAAAACTCAACTGCCTTATCTTAAATAAGCGTAAGAATTAGTTACTAAGTTATACAACGGAAACAAAAAAGGAAGGTATTCCAAGATATGAACGAAAATAAGATCCTAAAGAACCAGTTTCATTAAAAAGTAATTTCCGGTGGGCTACCTCTACCGGTAGTCGTACTTACGCAACATAAGATTACAGGCAGGCTAAGATAATACCAATACTCTATATTATTAAGAAAAAAACACTTTCCATGGCAAAGGCGTTAATTTTTATAACAACTATATGTGTAACGGAGTATGGAGGCTTTCTCTCATTCGTCGGTCATGCACTCCTTTTGGCTGTAGGTACTTACTTACTTAAAGCCCGTCACGCTCCATGTACAGGAATCATGAATGAACAAATTGAATCCACACCGATTTGTACAACTAACTTTCTTAGTGACTATGAATATTTATTGTCCAGCCAAAGAAAGTCCACCTCTGAAAGACCTTTTTTTAAATAAATTAACATTTGCTACTTTTAATCGAGTTTCTACAACTTGCAATGTTTAATTTAAATAGTCAATGTCTTCTATTAAAGCATCGACTCATTCATGAGACAAGGCATAAAATCTAAGTGCGTTTTAGAAATAAAACTTTATTGTATATACCAACCAACACGATGGTTTTCAATTTACTTGATGACCATAACTGCACTAAAAGTTCATTAATCGTGATGATGTGTAGAAAGGTCAGTTGCCGATAGTAGTGTAACATCGCTTCATACAATAGTCATTGGCCTTCGCACCCGTCGCGCTGGTTGCCCCTTTTGTTTCAGAGCTTGTGAGCCTGACGGGACGCCGGTTTTGCCGCCAAAATACGTCAACGACACCCAATTCATACGTTACCATCCGGGACGGGTCGCGAGGTCACATTTTAATTGTTTTTACATAATTGTTTCGCAAATCCAGTGTGTGAATAACCCTAGTGTTTCAAGCCATTCAATTTAATAATGTCAGCTGTCGTAACATCTTCAGCGTTGATCACCCATTATTTAGTTGACGGTTAATAACTCGTTCTAAACAATAGATGTTGTATATACAACAATGAGATGATTATAACCTTGTTATTTTACTTTTACAAATGAATGTTATATAAATGAAAGCCTGTGAAATATACCGCTGCGTATAATATGTCGTATAACTCGTATATCTTTTGTACTGTTACACCTAAACTGAACATATAAAAATACGAAGAATAATAGTAGGTATCTTTAGCATCTAGATCAAAAAAGATTGCTTCGAAAGCAGACGAATCTCTTCAGTTAAGCAAGATTATGTGCCAACGGCAGCAATACTTAGGCAGTACAAGACAATGAGATACGGCCAGTTAGCAAATGCTCACCGTCGACTACGTCGCCACGCGCTAGTTCCCGTACGAAGATACTAAGCGAAGATAACCCACTGACACAAGGGATTCACAGCTTTGATGAGAAAGAAAAAGTTTTGTTGTGATCGACTTTAGCATTTATTCTGTCGCACTCAGTAACACTGTTAGACACAAACTTTACCTAGACTTTAGCAACGAGTGGCCGGTTATTGAAGATGATAGTACCTATAAGTGATTTCAGGAAAGCCAATCTAAGAGTTTATCATTCTAAGTAGGTAGGTATAGGTACCTATATACATATATGGCTTTCGCATGTCATTATGCCGACTCGAATTTAACACATTCTCAACAAAAGTGAGAACTAATAACGCCTTTCAAATATTTTAAAGAAATTAAGAAACTAACACTACCTAATTGTCCATTTAACAGGTGATCGCGAAGTCACGTCGAGGGGTTCAAATCAAGTCATCGAGGTGACACTTTCACTGGTAGCGCACGCGTCTTCCCACGGTGAAACCGTGCGAAGTGAGAAAATGATCTCACCACCAACCAGCGGCAAGGCCAGATGTGTCAGGTGATTGAGTACAATGCAGGCGAGGGTAACATCTCACCCGCCACGAGTCCGGTTAAAACCGGCCCAGTACAAATGCATCACTGGGTTCTGGTTGCTGCTAACGATTCTAGAAGTAGTGGTCGCCAACAGACCGCCCAGGTTTCTCATAGATGGTCAGTCAGAAATTGTTGTCAGACTTAAGGAAGGACCTGACACACCAGTTGGTGAGTACATGCTAGTTTCCTGTCCTATGTTTCTGATTATAATTACTTGAGACAATTAATAAAAAATATGTAAATAATCCGAACAAATGAACTAAAGCGTGAGGATGAAATTGCCACAAGCCGTATTGATTTCGTCCTCAATAAATAAGTAATACACGAAATCTAAGTTACAAGGTCTACCGTACTAAAATATCAATGTTCACTTGATATTTCACAAAGGTATCAATTTTCAAAACCGTATTATAATACCTAGTTCCATTACACCGCACATAAAACACCTGTTATACTAGCTCCCCAATGCTATTTCAAAGTTGAACTTTACCGGTGTTTTGGTAAGGTACTGACAAACGGAAATTAGTCATAATAGGGGAACGGGTAGAGTGGGGTTGCCACGACAACTGATCCAAACATGGGGAAGCCCTACTGCTGTTAAAACGTTCCCTTGTTCACCATGCACTTACTAATCGTCGATTATATAAATAACGAGGAACTATTAGTCAACCGAAAGGTAGCAAAGCGTGAAATCGGACTGATAGGGATTGAATTCCAACCAGTATTATATAGCAAAACCCAAATTCTATGTCAAATTTCGCAATTTTAACAACTTAATGAGGATGAGTCATAGCCACAGCTATCTACTACCAGAGGAAACTACTATCCGTATATAGCCAAAATTTCGCTGACTCATGCAATGATTTTGTTTTAAATTTTAACGCGGTGTTCTGTTTTTATTTTTTCTTTTAGGCTACACGCTCGGTTGGCCTTTGAAATGGCTAACTGATTAGCTGTCACTGAACACCGGTGTCTCAATTGTACTTATGAATTCGAATATTTTATTATAAAGTCAATGTTTGATCTTGTTAGTTTTTCGTCGAGAGTAATATTGTCGCTGCGAAAACTTAACACACAATTAAGTGTTATCTTTTAATTTCTTCGAACGTATGTTAGTGTACATGTAGTTTTAAGTACCTACCAGTGAGTGTGTGTTAATTAAAATTATTATAGACCGTTATTTTAATTTCAGGTAGCCTAATATACCGGCTGAGGGGCATTGACCCCGATGGAGATACGTTACAGTTTGGCATTAGAGACCAACTTGGTAGTGATATTTTAAGATTAGAAGCCATTTCATCCAACGAAGCTAATATTTATTTAGTTAAGGAATTAGATAGAGAGGTAAGTCCATACACGAAATTATTAAAATGTATTTTTTTTTTTTTGGTAAAGTCGGCAAACAAGTACGCGAATTATCTGATAGTAAGCAATTGGCGCCGCCCATGGACACCAGCAACACCAAAGGAGTTACGAGTGTGTTGTCGGCCTTTTGGGGATAGGGGTTGCGTCGAGTCGAGTCAACCAATTCGTGCCAAAGCTTGGCTCTTCCCTCAGAATCTGTATTCTGAGGCTCTTCCATACTTGTATGTATTGGTAAGATTAGTTGTCAATTAATAAAATAAGGCAGACCATCCTTTTTGGGCAAACATAGGGAGAATTGAATATTTTGTGGAAAATGTATAAAACTTATCTGTTTCAGGTCCGTGATGAATATTCTTTTGTATTAACTTTAACTGATGGGCATCTAGGCGATGGGAACTACATTACACAAAGCTTTTTGTTGTTAGTTGAAGACGTAAACGACAACGAACCAATTTTCAAACCATATCCTTCCGCAATAACGGTTAAAGAAGATGCTTCTCCTGGAATTTTAGCAACTGTAGAGGCAACAGATCAAGATGAAGGAGCATACGGACAGGTACCTATATTTTTTAATTTTTGAAATAACATAACATACTACATCGTAGAAGAATCTAGTGTCACTAATATATTATACAATACATTTTCCCAATTCCAAGTAGAAGCGAGCAAAAATCATTATTTTTGCTTTTAAAAGAAATTCTATTGCACTAACTTCGTAAACTCTCTATAATACTGCCCATGCGCAATTATAAAATGTCAATGTCGCTGTCAGCTGTTGGCTGTCATTATCATGCATATAAGGAAAAAGTTGTTTTGATTTGATATGAAAAATAATAATTATTAATTTATAGGTGTTATACCACTTACAAGAACTTGACGGCGACGTGCAAAGTTTCGCTATTCAAACTGTTAACGGGAAAGGAGTGATACGGTTGACAAATCGGTTGGATTATGAACGAAAGTCGTTGTATCAACTTCGAGTGCTGGCTGTGGACCGTGCGAATCAAGGGAGGGTGAACACTGGTACTGCTGCAATCCTTGTTAAAGTACAAGATGTGGAGGACCAGCCTCCCGAGTTTGTTGTTGCCAGTCCCGTGACTAGGATCAGTGAAGATGCTCCCATTGGCACTTCAGTCTTGCAAGGTGAGGTTTTACTAAGATACATGGATCATTAAGTATTCTTATGATTCCTTCAACTGTTCAATGTGTGAAATCACAATTACCAATCATATCATTGAAAAAATTTGCCCTCCCCCATGTATCCTGTCACAACTATTGGAATAAACCTAGAATTTAATTAAACATTCTTATTATAATTTTGTTTGTGTTGTATTTAGTTGCCTAGATATCTATATCTAGTATGAAAAATATTTTAGTGTACATAATATTTGTTTAACATTAGTACAGTACGGCCAACGTTTCTTGGTGAGTCTGAAGTTAGCCATTTGTCTGCGCAATGGATCTTTTAGGAACAAAATTGTGTACTGCACAGCTACTCGGCTAACTTCAGACTCGCCAACATAGAACGGCCGTATAGTACTAAAATCTATGTTTACAAATAAATAAAGTATGTATATACAGACTATATACCTATCAATATTTGATTAAATAATTTTTTGTTGATCTTCCAGTTCGAGCCATTGATGGAGATCGAGGAATCAACAATAGGATATCATACAGCATTATATCAGGTGGAGAGGAACACTTTGACATTGACAGCAGTTCAGGGGTTGTGTACACTGTCAACCAACTTGATAGGGAAGACCCCAATAACAGCAATGGGGCATATATTTTGGAAATATTGGTAAGAACCTAAAGTTAAATGAAATGTATCAGTAATCTTTAAAATATTAACATCATGTATCAAACACCTGGAAACATAACCACATAAAAAAATTAAACTCATTAATAAGTAGGACATAAAATATACATTTGATGATTTGACCTTAATATGTCTTTCTTAGTTCAGTTGTTGTTGGGTGTTATAATAATTATTTTTACTGATGCTAAAATTGTTATTGTTGTCTTGTGTTGTCTAGAATGGCTGGCCAGCTAAAATATTAATATGTTTGCATTTTCATTTAGAAGCAATTTAAAATCTTCTGAGGATAAATCGTTCCATTTTTCCAGGCTACTGAAGAATCCCGCACCATATCACCAATGCCCAGTGCTACCACGGAGGTGACAGTCATTGTGACTGATGTGAATGATGAGACTCCACGGTTCAGGAATGACAGATATGTAGGAGAAGTGCTTGAGAACGCACAGCAGAATACACCTATTACATTCTTGCAGGATGCTATTCCTGAAGTTTTTGATTATGATCAGGTAATATCAGGGTTTCTACCTTGTTATAATTTTATCTATCTGAGTGCATTATCCTTTTAATCATGGTAATTCAAGACACAATAGAAGGAATGTGTTAAGAACAAAACTGAAAGGGATTCATTGTTTAAGGACTTTAAACTAAATGTCTTAGATCTTGGATTTATCCAGAGAATTTTGGCGAACCCTAAATCCAATATTGCTTAAAGGTTGTGTGGTTTAGTTCCGAGGCTTAAGCAATGAATAACTGTGTATTTATAGGTAGGTTTCTGTTTACCTTTATGTAGAACCTAGGCGAGTTAGGATTGCATGTAATAGTATTAGGTAAAATCTAAATAATATGTCGTAGTTATAAGGTACAATGGGGTTGACGTATCCATGTGGATAAAAACCCCGTATACTCATGTCAGAATAAAAAAAATTAAAAAAAAAGGCACAATAGAAGAACTATTAATAGTTGTGCAAACATTAGGTGTTAATGATATCTTCTGTATAATGCTTTGATGCCTATGGCAAGATGTACATAGAAAAATATTGTAACTGGTAGAAACAATTCTTATAGTACTGAATTTAAAGTGTTGAATTTACACTTTACATTTCCAGGGTAAAAATGGTACATTTGAATTATACCTAACGGGAGATCATGGTGTGTTTGATGTTACACCATTCAAAGGTATCAATGAAGCTTCATTCCTTATTAGAGTCAATGATGCATCTTTCCTGGACTATGAAAAAGTCACTGTTATGAATTTCAGTCTAGTCGCCAAAGAAATTGTTACCAAAGATCCTAAAATGAGGTATGTACTAATTTATGATTTTAAACTTATTCATGTAAAAGAATATTCCTGTCTTATTAAATTTATATAAATATTTCGATTTTTAACTATATTATGTGATAATTGAATTTATACCCTTTCACCACTCATAATAAAATTGATTTTCGTGTATTTCCAGCATAGTGCCAATAGTAGTCCATATAAAGGACGAGAACGACAACTTTCCAGAATTTACCGAGTCATTGTACACAGTGTCGATACCTGAGAACTGTGGGGTTGGCACCACTGTCGCATGGGTGCAGGCCCTCGATCAGGACTCAGATAATTATGGCACCAGGGGAATCAGATACACCAGTCTTGGAGGAAGTATTGCGAATTTGTAAGTATCTATATTATTTAAAAAAATGAGGAGTAGTACTTTGCTATAAAAGAAAATGTGAAAACTCTCTATTTTAAAATCATTCCTCGATTTGAAAAGGAAGGAATTACTGACACACTTAGCCATGTATAGTTGCCAAAAAATAGAAGTAAAACACATGACACTAAGTTTTTAAGACATGATTCTGTGATAAGTAAAAGTTGGGAGAATAAGATTAACAATTAAGGTCTATTTTCCTGTGTCAATCCTACATATAATATCTCCATTTTCAGGCTAAACCTTAACCCAATATCAGGAGTAATAACAGTAAAACAAGCGGGCGGTGACAGTTTCGACCGGGAACTCATATCTCGCCATTACCTGACTGTTGAAGCCAGAGACGATTTAGGCAAAGGCAACAGGAATACAGCCCAGTTAATTATTAACATAGAGGATGTAAATGACAATGCGCCAATGTTTCTAGCCAATAAATATGAGGCTAGGTTACTGGAAAATGAAAAGGAGTTTGAAAACCCACTTGTGCTCGAAGCTAGGGATCTGGATTTGAATGGTGAGTTGCTATTAATTTTTGTTCCTTAATCTTTGTAAGTATAGTTAGCTGAATGTTTGTCTGTCTCTGACTCTGTCACGGTGAATGCCTAAGGCATTAAGTCGGCATATGTACCATGCATGAAGTTTAAATAAATAAAATCAATATTATAATTACTTATTACGTTATTTTCATTTCTATGTACACAGGAACAAAGAACAGCCACATTGAGTACTCAATAGTTGGTGGAGAGTATAAGGATAACTTTACGATAGACCCGAACTTGGGCATTATCACCCCTGTTGGAGGATTGGACTTCGAACAGATACCGGGCGATAACAGTAACCTCCGGCCTATACATCTTACTGTAAGTGATATTTTGTTGTACTGCTTAATTATTATTATTTTCTATTCTAATAATAAATGTTACACCTGGACTGCCACTCACTTCTACAATAATCTGTCCACCTAAAGGTTGCGTGGTAGAGATCGCTTTTAGCGATAAGGCCGCCTTTGTACCCGTACTGGGTATTGGATTCTGTAATTTTGTACTATGCATGTCAACTCTTTTGGTGTACAATAAAGTTTATTTTTTATTATTTATTATTGTTCTTATCTTAACCTAATAAGAAATGCTAATACGGTGTGTATTTTCGTTTTTCAAAACATTTGGATAACATAAGTAAACTCATTGTAATTTATATAAATAAGTTAACTTATTTTCAAGTACATATCAATATTGTCTAGAATAATTTGTTTCTTAAAGAATTAAGCGTAGATCAAAGCTTGTCTTACGAGGGTCACATGTTTGCAAAATGAACAACCCCTTAATAAATAAAGCAAAGAAAGAACATTTATCTATTTAACCTAATTTGTTTTAAGTTTTGTTTGCAGTTGGTTATTTAAAGAAAGATTTTAATTGATACGTATAAAGTGTGATAAGTATTTTTGTCTATCTCTTACTTATATTACTACTTTTACATTTTCCAAGAATTTTGTAGAAAATATCTTACAATGCATTTTTAATCACCGATTACCATCTTCAGGTACGTGCTCGCGACTTCGGAGAACCGTCTCTCTCATCAACAGTACCAGTGACAATTTACGTACAAGATGTCAACGACCACGCCCCACTCTTCCAGCAAATGATGTACAAGAGATCGATACCTGAAGACATGCCTGGAGGAACCAGCGTGCTTGAGGTATGTAGTATAGGATATTATACTCTAGCGTTGTGGATTTAAAGAGCATTTTCACCAATCCAATCAAGAACAAGTATGCTACCTCCATCATAAGATTGCTAGTGTAACACAACTATTTATAATATTATGTAAAACCTATTTCAATAGTGAACTTCATCGTTTACATTGTATAACTCCACAAATCAATACTAGATGCCGCTGTGCGTATGTCATATTTTACATGGCGGTGTTAAGATTCTCCGCGACTTAATGACCCCCGCCAGTACATTTGTGTTTTGGTGAAGGCTACTGTCACGGTGCACTCTCGGGCTACGTCCTACTTGGAATAGTCACTTGAGACTCCTCTGCATAGCAAGTCACGGACACTATATTATACTTTTATCTCAATAATTGTATAATTTTTTGGACTAGAGGACTGCATCCGCCACCTTCGTCCAAGCGGAAAGGGTTGTGTGGGACTGCGCCTATTTTATTTTACCAAATATACGTTGACAACATTTACCTGGCTTTCCATCTCGAACGCGTGACGACACCGGAATAAATAACCCTTATTACACTAGTTTTATGACAAACTTAGTTGTTTAGGACATAGAGTGTACTTTAGAATAGCAGAAAATAAACCAAACAAAAATCAAATTCAATAAGATTACAAAGACGTTGAAAATCAAAAATGGTGTTCGATTTTGGAATTGCAAGCACTACACGCAACAAACGTGATTTACCATACATTTGATTGTCGCTAGATAGCAAGAAGGTAGGTAATTGCACTGACTCTCACACAAGTACTTAGCACCTCAGTAATCCAACTTCCTACTCAAAGATGTGCAATATTATTTGAGTAACGCAGTAGCTAAGCTGCCTGTTTCGTAAATCCAAAATCCTTTGTAAAATTCTATTTTATTTTCAAAATCATAAACGCATCCAAAATACTAGATAATTTTAAACACACAGGTTAAAGCTCGCGATGCAGATGGCTCATCCCCTAACAACCGCGTGGTGTACAGAATACAGCGCGGAGCGAGCGATAAGTTCGTAATAGAGTCCCGTACGGGAGTAGTGTCCGTTGCTAACGGGTCCACTTTGGATCCCGACAAAACTACGCCTAAAAGCAATCGCTATACGCTAACTGTGGTATGTATGCTTATTTTTACTTATAAAGTTTCTTACATTTTAATGTTTTCCTGTATATGATGCCAAATAAAATTTTCGTTAATATCCGAAAAATTCTAACATTTATTTAACTAAGGATAGTTATGTTATGTCAGTTATACTAAAGTTTCTCTTCAATGACCCTATGCATTAAAAAAAACTGCATGAAAATCCACTGTGTAGTTTTAAAGATTTAAGTGTGCATAGGGACAACAAAAGCTTTTTTGTTTTCTAATAATTGTAAGTAATGTAGTGATTATATATTATTAACGATCGTATTATATGTAATGATATTCAATTTCCAGGTGGCGTTGGACGGTGGTATAGGTGACCAGCAACTGAGTGCGGCAGTTCTAGTGAATATTACTATAGTTGATGTGAACAATAAGCCGCCTGTACTAGTTGAGCCAGGCACTATCGTTGTTAGAGAAAACACCCAGGTAAATAAATCATATTTTTCTCTAAATAAATCATATATTTCTCTCTTTCTCTCTCTCTCTCTCTCTTTCGCTTTGTTACAAGGACGACCCCGTTTGTCTTTTTTAAAAAAACGAAAAGACAACTTACTGCAAACCACTTTAATAATCACTAATTTAACAACAAAATTTGTCCACTAATGTCCCTTTTAATTACTCAAAATTTAGCGATATGGGTAACGCGGTGGCACCGTGGTGGTGTCCAGAATCTAACTAACTACATTATGGATTTCAATCTACTGCAATTGTAAAAATGCATACTCAGCGTAAAAATTGCAATGTGCAATGGAAAAATACGTTGTATTATGATAAAAGCTGTCATGGACAAGGCAATAGAGCCTTCTATTGCCTTGTAATAAGGGTTATAACAGCTCGCTTGCTCTCTCGGTTTTTACACTTTTTATTGTTGTTTGTGTTTTTGTTCCTGGCGCTCATGTTTTTTGCCGAATAAACATACATTTCATTTCATTTCTACGGCTATTTTCATATTGTTTCTTCCTGTAACAGCGCCACTAAGACGTTCAGTCTTATTTCTTAATTGTTTAAATACATTTAATCTTAATTTTATTGTAACTTGTTGGTTCATAACTTTTTAAACTACAGTACAGCAATGCTTCTGGTGTCGTAATTGACATAATTGGACTTTGAAGAATAGGAGCCGAATAATTTTAAAGAAGAGTAGTTTATTTGCACTGTTTCAAAAGTCGTATTATAATTTTCAGGTAGGAACACAAATATACCGCGCCTCAGCCCACGATCCCGACGACCAGCCAGTACTACGCTACGCCATAGACAAGGCAAGCAGTGTTGCCAGAGATGAGGACGGAATCCCTATATCTTTGACAGAATATGACTTTCTTGCATTATGGGACCTGAATGCGGTCGACGGAACACTAAAAGTGGTTAGGTAAGTAAATATTAATCTTTGCGACATTTTTAAATACTTATTAAGAACTTCCAAATGTTTGAGCTTCTATAGGCTTAAAAGTAAAGTCTGTTTTGTTATTTCTTTATTTGGAAATGGATAATAATAATGAATCATGGTGTACAGATTGAGATTTTAATACAATAATATTTCGTCCAAAATGAGGAACGTACATATTTGATTTCCTTGTTTGATAAGATGTAAAAGTAAGTTCAATAGGGATGATAAAAACCTGGAAATAATAAGATCCGTCAGTTAAATAATTTGATAAATGCTAGACAAGTATTTTATTATTGTTTCGTCGAAGAAAATAATACTTAGATGAAACAAATTAAGTAAGTATAAAATGTAATGAATCACGACGTCACACGATATTCGAAATCAATATATTCTCGAAAGTATTTATTTTCATAACAAAATAAGTGTCTAATGTTTTAAATATTTCAGTAAAAATTACATCAATCTTATTTACACATAGCACCCGTTTCTGATAGAAAACAAACATACAATTCAATGACACAAAACTAAAACAAAACTCATTCAACAGACTCTTGGACCGAGAAAAGCTGGAAATAGTTAAACTAGTGATAACGGTAGAAGACATGGCCGCCATTGATGGTGGTCCTCGACAGACTGCATCAGCAACACTCACCATAGTGATCGATGATGAGAATGACAACAACCCAGTGTTTAGAAAACCAATGTACAAAACTTCCATCACTGAAAACTCTAAGAATGGAGTCAATATTGCTACCGTTATAGCGGATGATGCTGATAAGAATAAGAGTATGAATTATTTTCTTGAAGGTGAGTACTATAATTTGTTTATTTTATAAATTGGCAACTTTTATAAATAAAGGTTAGTGTGTGTTACCATTATTCACAAAGTTTGATTAAGGGCTGATTTTTCAATGGTTAGAGAAAAGTTGTCTGCGAAATAATTATGATGCTGTCGCGTCACAATGTTTGTGTAAGACAGTGACAGCAATAATTTTATTCCTCATATAACATTTATCTTACTTACTTCTACACTTAAAGAGCAGTCTAAATTTCGAACATGTAATTTGAGGCTACGTTTAAAAAAATGCATTCATATTAGCACTAACGTTGATAAAGTATCAAATTTCAATATCTTTCAACAGGACGTGAAGACCTTCTAAACTTGGTTCACATGGACAGCAAAACAGGAGAAGTGGTAGTGGCCAGTAAGATCGACCATGAACTGTATCCGTGGATAAATCTCACTGTGAAAGGAGTAGACAGTGGTGTGCCACCGCGGTACTCTGTCGTTGACTTATTTATACAGGTGAGGGATACATAAACTATCAGTAATAAGGTTCAAATTATCCCCTTTTTTTCCTATCCTTTTTTTTATATCATATGTCGGCAAACGAGCAGACGGATTACCTGGTTGTAAGCAATCAGCGCCGCCCATAGACACTCGCAATAAAGGAGTTATTACAAGTGCGTTGCCGTCCTCTTGTAAGTTATTAGGATATTAAGGATAGGAGATTTGAGTATTAAGGATGGGAAGGAGAAAGGATTGGGCATCCGTTAACCTCTTCTCTTCTTTTATTACAAATTTCCGAGGTTTAGATAGGTAGGGTCGGCGCAATAAGTCTTTTTCCATTATCTAACTAACCCCTGTTCAAGGTTCTGTTTTATTATTCGTCATTATTAGTAAAATCATTTTACTTGCTTCTCCCTACATGGACAATGGAGGATGAACTGTTCACAAACTAAATATAAAAGATTTATTACCATAGTAATGAAAATAATGTTTGATCACACTTTGACCTGCAACTTCTCTACTCTTTTTCCTTTTGATAAATCATTACCATGTATATAAATATAATTATTTGTAGGTACTAGACGAAAATGACAACAATCCAATATTCGAGTCGTCAGCATTTGAATACAGGGTGCTTGAAGACGTGGAGCCGGGGACTACGATAGCAAATATATTGGCACGAGACGCTGACTCCGGCGAGTTCGGGAAGATCACCTATTTACTTGACCGAATGTCCACACAGGTAAGTTGCATTATGTATTATATAATATTCAGAATCGTTATTATAGTTGAATAAAGAAATAGAGCTTTTTTGATTAGTTTTAAATTACTGTATTAATAATGTTTTTTTTTTACTTTTCACTTGATATATTTGTTTGATATTGTGGTCGCCTGGAGGTTAAGACACTCGCCCCTCGAGCATGAGGGTGCAAATTTCGGGTCAGAACCTGCCTCAAGGTCAAAATATGCCTCTCCGTATCGAGTTATACGAACTTTCTAAGCATATCTGAATTATGAGTTCACTCTACTCATCCGCAGCCTCGGCCTGGACCAGGAGATGGAACAGTTCTTCTCGCCTTAGGTTGGACGAGACTAGCCAGGGCGAGAGGAGTCATTTGGTGATTTTCCAAATTCTGTTTTAATTTTATTGAATTATCATATTAACATCCGGTTTCTGAAAGGCTTGTCAACGCTAAAATTAACTAATCTCCTGTTAAATCTCTTGTCAATTCATCTGATTGGTTGTTGATAATTCAGTCAACCAATCAGATGACTTTACAAGATATTAAATGGATTTTAACATTGATCGGCCTTTCAAAAACCGGGGGTCAATATTATATATCGACTTACTCACGTGAATTAACGGCGGAAATTAAAAAAAAATATAATTAGTATTTTTTAAGAAATCTTTTTTCATGGCAGAATAGGTCTCCGATAACCAGAGTTAATTAACGATCTTACTAACTCTTTAAAATTACAAATGAATTTAATACACTATTGTTTGATTTAGCGTTTATGGAAAACAATAAAGTGCTTAGCTTTTAACACTGAGACAATGGCATGATTCTTCAAAAAACTGTTCTAGAGCCATAAACATACTTTTTCTGAAAATAATTACGTTCAATTTATTCTAATTTACAAAGCAGTCGTTATACTGATCATATTGCGTGAACGGTAACAATAAAAACTAAGGCTCATCAAGAAATCAAATTGCCAGCTTGTGAATAATATTATGAAGCAACTATATTCTTATAAAAAATAATATAACAAACAGTTAGAGCGAGTTTCGCTAAGTAATACATATACTTAGTTATCTGCATTTTTTGTGGTATGGTAAGCAATCGTACGGAGTTGCAGGCTTTCTAGAGATTTAGGGATTGGGGGAGGAGGATTGGTACTCCAGCAACCTCACTCACTCTATCAAACCCTAATGCTGTGGTTGTTTCACGCCGGATTTCTGTGAGGCCGTGGTATTATTCCGCTTGAGCCGATCTATTCGTGTCGAAGCTTGGCTCTTCTACACTAATTATTCTAATTAAAACAGATTTTATTTCTGTAATTATATAGACGACATAATATAATACCTACCCACCCCTTATTCTTCCCGATCAGTATCAGTAACCGAACAACAACAATAATAAACCTAAGCGCCCGTTAGGTTGTGACTATAAATTGAGATGTAAGCTATCCTATCTTTCAAGTTGGATCAAAATGCACACGGAATGTAAATGCAATTTAAAATCGGTTTAGTGGCTTAAGAGTCCATCGCGGACAAACATGTGACACGAAATTTTTATATATTTATAAAGATTTATACATTGTGGGCCCATTTTGGGGGAGGCAAATCAACAAAAAGAATTCTGTTGCCTAGGGTGGGATGAGAGGGAGTGTTACACTCTTACTGACTAAAACTACCCCGTTCCTTCTCCAGCTCCAGACCGGGGCCGATATACATATTGCGCTTGTCTGTAATCTTTAAACGGCAATCTCAAATGTGCTTGCTAAACGTGGAGATTATGGCAAATCCCTTTATCTAGAGAACGCCCGTAGTTCAGCAGTGAATGATCACGGGTTTTAAAACAGATGTAGTTTGAATTGATAATACTATTTAGAGAGGCTATGTTATTAAAATAGTTTCGTAAATTTCCACTGAATAATATCCTCCTTATGCAATTGTAATAGGGTTGATAGAATTTCAAAGTTGTTAGTCTAGAATATTGTTCCTGGATATTTTCTTGGTGTTTATGTGCGATACAGTTTTCGTTTGCTTTTCACTTTAATAAAATTTTATGTGATAAAGATGAGGATATACCTAGATTTGCACAGGTCGAGTTCCTACACCAAGGCGATTTCTAGCCAAATATACATTCATTCAAATTTTTTACATTATTGTATTATGTATGTACAAAGTGACATTATTATGTAAGTATCACGGCAAGACTGAGTTTTTAAATCAGTATCGGCCATATTACAAAACAAGGTTTTACTTTAGTCTAGGACTAAGCCATTGAACCAGTTTTCGTATTTCGAATTGAAGGTAGATGACAATAAGATACAAAATTCAAAACTCGACTCAATGGTTTAAACCTGGACTAAAGATAAACCTTGTTTTGTAATAAGGGGGTATTTGTTTAAGTGTGAATTATTTTGTGTACTCAGTTTTCTTAGTGTGTTTATTTTCTATGTAGATATAGATTTATGTACTCTACGAATTCCATCGATACGTTTTTATTTCAACATTAGAATCGCAATAATCTGAACTTTGTATGCGATTGAATAGAGTGCATTTTTGGATACTATTATAAGTATATTAATCTATAATTCCATTCTTCAGGGCAAATTCTTAATAAACGCCGATACGGGAGCTCTGACTGTGTCCGATTGGCTGGACCGAGAGACGCAAGCCACATACAACCTTGTCATAGAAGCGTGGGACAACTATCAGTTTGGATATCTCAGTGGAGAGAGCCGTAATGCCTTCAAGCAGATTGTGTAAGTATCTATTTTCTTAGCAAAGATGGGATCAACTAGCGCTGATTTAAGCCAAGGTCGCGGGTGCAAGCCCCATAATGTACCGACCGGCTTGAAGCAGGAGAACGAACGGGGTGTTTATTAGTCAGTGAGAGTCTGATACTCCCGTTCGCCCACGGCTCGAGTCATTTGAAGACTCCCCCCCCCCCCCCCTTTAATAAAGCACCTCTTCCTTATTTTGTTACAGATACCTATGATTATGTCGATATCCGCACAAACATAATTTTAAATTCTCCAGCCAAAAAGGTACCGTGGCTCGGCCTTGAGTCATGAAAAAGAAACAATTCTCAACCACCAGCAACTACTAATTTCACAAAAAAGTGTAATTTACCACACATAACATAAGATTCAAAATTAAATATCTAATCAGTGCTCTGCCTTTTTAACCTAAGTGCTTGAAAATTTGTTGAGTAAGACTTTTAAGTCATAATAAAAGTCTCTATAGGTATACCTTTATACATATTATTATGTATATGCCTCTCGTTCTTAAAAACATAAGTGTCATAATGACACTGCAGTTTCTAATCAGCTTGTTAAGCGTGGGCACAAATATTTGCTAACTACGGTTAAAAAAATATTGCGAAGTTCAAGTTATATAATTAGCGATTAGTCATACTTATATATGTATTGTAGATTTATTTAAATCTTCTTTATGTCGGTGGTACGGGAAAAAATCGAACTTAAGTTTTCAAAAAAAAAAAAACATTGCCGCACTTTAGGGTTGCCCTGTGTTGTGGGTGCGTTTACAAACATACAATGTCACATACACATCACACCCATACCCGAAACAACAATTTGTGGATCACACAAAACCCGCGACACGTTGCACGGCAGCCGGTTACCCAGCCACTGCACCAACCGTGCAGTCTTAGAAAAAATACTGTTTACAAAATTGAAAAAAATGTTTACTTCACTACTTTACACACAGAAAATCTTATTTACCTTTTGTAATAAAAGGTACTTAATTCTTTTTCAAGCATTACTGACTTTTATTTGTATCTTGAAATCATACATTTAAAGTCCAATTTCACATGACCACACAAATATCCTGTTCCAAATTGTAATCTAACTATCTTTTTTCTGATTTTGTGTACATTAAAAGTAATTTATAGTATGATTAAATAAATAAATTGTTTGTTTACATAGAGTCCACATAGAAGACGTGAACGACAACCCTCCAATCCTCCATGTACCTTCGGAATGTACTACTATAACGGAGTTCCACAACTACCGGGAACCCATTGTGTCAGTTTCGGCCACTGATGCCGACGATAATTCCGCGCCTAACGGACGAGTGCAGTTCCATCTGGTCGAAGGGAAAGGACATGGTATGTTATATCTGGTTTCATTTGTAGGTCTCAAAGTATATAGGCACTAGTGGCTCGTACCGGCTTTGCACGGATGCAATGCTTATACTGATTCTAGATTTCTTCCTAAAGAAATGTGTGAGAGCCAAGCTTCGGCACGAATGGGTTGGCTCGAGAGAAAACCGGCGTGAAACAACCACAGCGTTGTGTTTTGCCGTGTGAGTGAGATTACTGGAGGCCCATTCCTCCAAAAATGTTAAAAAATAATTAATCTGTGTTACTACTTTCCTTTGGTCTAGAACCTGGAATTAGACCAGATATAATATATACTAAGTCAATCGTCGGTAACAGAATGTTTTTATACACCTGAGTTCTGAAACGGACTTGACCTATTTTCGAGATTTAGAAATAAAATAGCTACTCCGAGGGCCGGTCCTAAAAATAACCTCTTTAAGACAAAGTATCCAATAAATTCGTTAGTAGGTGGTATACATGAACGAATGGATTATCCCTGCGTTAACTTTTTCTAACACCTTATCTTCCTCATTAGTTGTCTTAATTTTGGTTATTACTCTGTTAGTCAATCCCTTGTTCAATTCAGCCGTGGTGGTATGGAGGTTAGGGCACCCGCTTTCATGCATGAAGGTTCGAAAACTGGCAAGTACCAATGTATTTTTTTCTGAGCTATAGGTACTTTTTATGATTAATTAGACACCCCATCGCGAGGAAACATGGACTTTTAATTTTTAATTATAAGTTTGAAATCGCCAATCCGCCTTGAGGAAGCATGGTGGTTCATACTCAAAACCTTGTCCGTGTGGGCGAGGCCCTTTCTCAGCAGTGAGCACTTACAGACTGATATTGTGATATGATATAACCCCTTTCTTAAAGTAAATATTTCTTTCAGAATTGTTTCGGTTCGAGCAAGTTGGTGGTGATGCAAACACGGGTCGATTGTTCGCTCGCCAATCTTTAAAGGATCGCTTTGGAAACTACACTTTAGTTGTGGAAGCTAGAGATTTGGGCATACCACCCAATGTCGTTAGAGGAGAGCTACGGCTATGTGTCACAGATTATAACGATCACGCTCCCGTCTTCGTGCATCCACCACAAAATGTCACTATCAAAGTGCCTGAGGTGAGTTTGTTACATTTTCTGAAAAAAATATAACATTAGCAAAATGATAAAGGTCGCAAAAAGCATCTGGATATTTTATGCCGCCTTCCTACTGGCCGATTTGGAAGACAGTACATGGGGCTTATCAATAAAAGCAATTCATCCACCTTTTTCCCATCACCCTATGCAGTTTTTCTCAAACATTTTACATTACGGCTTTATTTTTTATTCTGTTTCACATGTTTATATTATAATGTTTCCTCTTAGAACGCAACAATAGGTACAACAGTAGTAGAGGTGAGAGCTATTGATGCGGATATAGGGCCAAACGGTGCCGTACGATACCGTGTACGGCAGGACGCGGCCGGGGCTTGGCGAGCTTTCACCGTACATGCAACCAGTGGAGCTCTCAGAACTACACAGCCCTTGGATAGAGACAAGCAGACTACCTACCAGGTAATATACATATAAAAGGTTAGACTTTATTATAGGTTTTTTTTTAATAGGAAAAGCCCGTCACTACTAAGCCAGGGAAGTAAATATGGCCATGAAAATACCGCAAGACTAAAGTCTACCAGATCGCATACCTGGGACAAATGACTATCTTGGATCCCACAACGAAATAAATCAGAAGATTTTATTTAAGGAGAAGAAAAGCACAAAAATTTTTCATTTATAACTAGAGACAGAATGTGACAAAATGCCATGTATTATAGTTATACAGATAGGGTGAACACTACGCCTTTTAAGGAAGCTTCAATTTGTGTTTTTGAATAGTTTTAAGCCTCTGTCTACCCTTAGAAGGCGAAAACGCATCAAATCACTTTCCACGCCCCACCTGGGGCGACTACCACGACCATGGGAGCGTCAGACTCTTACTGACTGAGCCTGTGCCTACCCTTTTGTATGCATTACTTTGCACATACATTATCAGTAGTGGTTTAGGGTCATTTTCGAGATTAATGCTTTTTGCATGCACAATCAGCGCCATCTGCCGGGCTGATTTGTAAATCTAAACCATCCAGGGCACCACTCAAAGGCTTACAGAAAAAAACATTTAAATCGATCAAGCCGTTTAGGAGGAATTCAATGACATACACACGTACAGCAGAATTATATGTATAAACATATAATATACAATCCTTGAATTAAATATACAGCTTAATTATTTTAACAACAAATAATACCTAAACATGATAAGCTTTGAACCCTAATATAGGTATTTCTTTCTCTACTATACACATTACAGTGACAAAGACAAAAAATGTAACGGTAACTCAAAATTTAATCGCGATTTAGAATTTTAAATTCATGCGTCAATGTCGTTGATTCCCTCTGTAATATAGTTTTTGTGACCAAATGAACAAATTCTACTATTCGTTGTCATAAATTACGTGTTTAGAAACGTCACACATAAATCATCGCGTCTTAGATCTTCAAAAGGCTAAGCAGTGGTGTATTAAACAATTTCTTATGATAGGGCACGGCAGAATTAGTCAATGATAAATGAATAACAATATACTTTACTTATTTACTTTTATATTTATATACTTTTAATATACTTAGTTAGTACTTTTCTTTCTTCTACTTTTCTAGACAATACGTCAAATTATCTGTCAGTTAAGCTAACAGAACTTTAACCAGATATTGTGAAACAAAACCATAAACAATTTATTGTAGAATATACACATTTTATATTTTTTTACCAAATAAATTATTTTTTCTATACAGTAGGTACGCACTAAGCCCCCAGTTGGTTCGGTAATTGTTTTATTATTGTCAACTGTCGAGGCGAAGGGGGAGTTACCGTAGCAACGGGTCGACCAAAACATTTATTTGCCTAATAAACGAACCTCCCTTATAAAAATAGATACGATAATAAATTATAAGTGAAATAATGACTTCTTTTAATGGAATAGTACGGCAAAATGAGCAGATAGATCATATGATATTAAGCAATCGGCTTCGCGAATGGAGACCCTGATAAGTCAAAGTCAAAATCATTTATTACAACTTAACCATAAATAAGTACTTTTGAAACGTCAAAATACTGATATCTCTACACCACAAGATTTACAATTTGCTAGTTGTTGAGAATTTGAGTTTCGGGGATAGAAGGGCAGGGAAGGATTAAGCCTCAGTTAACCTCTAACACAAAGCGTAGCGCACATTGTTTCACACCGATTTTCTATGATATCACGGTATCACTCCAGTAAAGCCAGCTCATTTGCGCCAGTAGGTACATGACTCTCTCACTTAAGTTATAATGGTTCTATAAGTATTCTATAAATGAAGCTCCATACAATATAGACTAAGTTTACATATACACAATACATACTATTAAATAAAGTGTTTAACATATTCATTTATTTTATAATACAGTAATGATTAATAAGTATTACAGATACAATTCAATTAATGAGCGTATGTTTGAAAGATCATTTTCTTAAAATGGCATTAATATATAAATAATCTTTTATATTCTTGAAAGCCTGAAATTGTCTTGCTTTAAATATTATGTATTTACCTAGGTACAGTTATAAAATTTGACCCCCGCGTGCCCTCTAGTTTTCACTACCTATTCCCTTACAAAGTATTTAAAAATATCTTTTAATATTTACCATTTGTCATTGTTACTGTTTTGCATTTGCCAAAACACAGTCACCGGTCGAGCGACTGAACGTCTGATTTATTTATGGTTTTACGTCTTATTTTATTCATGTTGATCGCCATTCGTGACGTCACACCTACAGCTACGCACTAGTCCCGATAACCCAACATTGTTTTCCGGATCTAGACACATTTGAATATAAACTATTTATTCCAAGTGAATGTTCTTTTTTATCTATACACGATTGTCTGTTTATTTTTACTTATCATATTATCGGGAAACCTTACCCAATTAAAAATTTATCGGACGATAAAATAGATAAATTAATGGCTGTCACAATATAAATGTTGTTAAGAGAACTATTATAATTATGTTATTGGTACAGATTTAGTAGATTTCCTCTACATCATATGGGACTTGGAAACGACTTATATGCATACAGTGCATTTTCTTCTGCCAGCAACTTCGAAATTACCAGAATGTAAAGGCACTTTATGTGTTATTCCAAAATATATAGGTACTCAAACTCTTTGTGTGAAGAGTAACAAAATTCCATGTATCCTATTAAACTTAAGCATTTGCAGCTAGTTGGATTAATTAATCTTCCTATTACAATGGGCTCGACTGGACCCTACAAAATAAACGCGTCTACTACGAATGCCGTTTCTTATTAATATGCACCCCTTTGTATTTACACTTCTAACATGAAGTGGACAACAACTAGACAACTATCCAGATTAATTGTAAATTTTTGATAACAATAAACAAGAAACAAACAAGATAAGAGACGTTACGTTGAATATTATTAATTAATGGAATTGGTGAAATATTGTTTTTGGACCATATTTTTGTTACAACTTACTTTAAGGCCTAAGTATAACTTCGGCTTCAATGAGATGTTAGACCACCACTGATGGGGCCCATGAATGCTAGGGCCACACTGACGGGAAATGCCAATAATTATCACGATAATTGATTATATTAAACAATGAAAAATATACCTTAAATCATTTGTTAAGAGATCAAATTACACCTACGATTAACGTTCATTATCGCGATAATGAATGGCATTTCCCGTTAGTATGGCCCAAGCATAAGGCCGATACCCGGCCCGGGTTACTGGTGTAAGGGTGTAAACGCATTAATGTACCGCGGTTCGCCTCGCAACAAAAGGTGGCGTTTAGTCAGTAACAGTCTGATACTTCCTCTCGCCCTACCTAAGGCAAGGATGTCATTCGATAATATCCCTCTTAAAAAAGTTCATAAGTGTAACCTAAATATTTCGTCGCCATATACCATCATCAATTCCTTAATGTATCGATTATTCCACAGCTCAGAATAGAAGCCTACGACCTTGGGCTGCCTACGCCACTTAGCTCAGACTTGGATCTAACCATCTACGTACAGAATGTGGACAACTATCGGCCGCGGTTCCCAAACAAGCATATACACATCAACTTTACAGAGAATGCACCGAATAATGGAGTTTACTTGCCCAGCGTCATAGAGAGGGATGAGATAGACAGAGGCGATGAACCCCTGTTACCTGTCTGCTATTATATTGTAGATGGCGATGCGGATAATGTGTTTGATTTACACAGGAGCACGCATAGGTAGTGGTTTCAGCTTATTATTTCATATATAAGTAAAGGTATCTTATTTTTTAAACTCGGATCCCTAAGAAATTCGTGCCGCTGACTGATTTTTACAAGATGGTTCAAAGACCTATTCAAATATCTCCAATTTATTCTAAAATTCCATTTGATTTCCAAAATTTAAATAGAAATCACGAGAAGCATCCTTCTTTATTTAAGTTTATTATGAATGGAATACAAATACTTTGATCATTTTCAGACTGACAACCAAAAAGCCATTAGATCGCGAACGAAAATCAGAATATTTCCTTACAATATTAGCTTCAGAAGACTGCGTTACGCAGCCGAAATATGATGAAGAAGTAGACGGAATCAGCACACTAAAAGTTCACGTAATCGTTAATGATGTTAATGACAACGCTCCCAAGTTTGTCAGTAAGATATTTACAGGAGGTATCACCACCGAAGCTGACTTTGGGATTGAGTTTATGCATGTTAAGGTAGGTGTTATTTTTTTCTTATTATACTTTCAATCGTGGTTATAAGTGGCACAGTAGTGAGACAGGTGCGCGAATGCTCACTTGGGGTTTCATGAATTAATCACCGAAGGATTAGTCTTCTTAGTTTTTCTGCATCTATTCATCATTTATGTACTTAATAACTACTTAGTCAATTAATGTTTTCTTTTCGAATTGTCACAATCAACCGTTTTTTTACGAATTTTGTATGTCAGTTGTGATTGTGACGTCATTCGTTTACATAGCGTCAACTTCAATCCTTATTTCTTAAAAACTTGTTAAAAAATACGAATATTATGTACTAACATACATAGTATTAGATATTTATTAGTTATTTCGCAATGTTTCACTGTATTGAAAAAGGGATAATTTATTCTAGTCTAAGTCATGTACCCAATTACATTGTGAACTCCACTCCCGGGGAACACAGAGGCAGAGGCTTTCATTGTTTATTTACTTTTACACGTTTAATTTTCTCATAGACACGCTCTGAGTGACGTTTCTAAAGATGCACGGACAATTTTCATACCTCAACTATCTCACTTTCTAATCCACAACATTCTTGTTTCATTCATGTACCTACCGTTATTTTGTACCTACTTATGGTATTTTCGGAGTGTAATGTAGTCACAAATATAAAATCGGTTTGTTTCATTTTTGTTGCATATTTAAGTTTTTAATTTTTACAGGCCATAGATTTAGACGAAGGTGAAAATGCTAAAATAAGTTATTACCTAATTGGAGAAGTTAAGGAAACTCTAGCAGAAGGCTTAGAGAATTTAGCGGTGTCTCTGTTTCTAGTCAATGTTGAAACAGGAGCGATTTCCTTGAACTTCGACCCGCAGAAGGGAATGAAAGGATATTTCGATTTTAAGGTGAAATATGTGATACTTTATACTATTACTTGTTATTTACAGCCATTTTAAATGATTAATAGAACAATGGGTGCATACAATGCAAACATGGGTGCGACGTAAAAGTCAGACAGCGCAGCGCATGCGTGATGTACCTATTCTATTTATTACTTACGTATTAAACAAATCAATAGCGCCGAATGATAAGTAGCTTCAAGTAGATACTTATCCACTTATTCCTCGGTTTTTATTACTTATTTTATCTTGTAATTTGAGTCATATGCTACGATACTGCGGATAAGAAAACCTTCCTCAATGCCTTTTCGTTGCAATTGATCAGACTTCCTTGCATTAAACGTACTTATAAACGTTTACAAAGTTCGATTTTATGTCACATTTGTGAAATTCACTATAAAAGTTTTTGTTATATCGCGACGCGTTTCCTGTACGTGAATAAATGCATTCATTACAAGCCTAGCTTAGCAACGAATTGTATTGGAGATGTGCCGAACGAGAGGTCATTGGCCTTTACCCCTGAATTGACTGCCAAACCTTTTAGATCAAGGCGTGATGTTCTATTTGTATACTTCCAGGTTCTAGCGAATGACACGGGGGGTTTGCAAGATGAGGCGCATGTATTTATTTACCTACTGCGTGAAGACCAACGTGTCCGCTTCGTCCTACGCTCTCACCCGTCAGAGATCCGAGACAAGATACACGTGTTCCGTGAACGATTAGCACGAGTGACCGAATCGGTCGTAAACGTGGACGATTTGAGGGTACACGAAAATAAAGATGGCTCAGTCGACAATACTAAAACTGATTTGTATTTACACCTCGTAAATGGTGAAGATCATTCGGTTTTAGAAGTCGAGCAAGTACTAAAATTAGTTGATAAGAACATTGAGCAGTTGGATGATCTCTTTAAGGTAATTTTCAGGTCATTGGAGTTACCAAAATAATCTATTAATAATATTATAACAATTTCATAAACTACAAAAGATATAAATTAAGATTTATAATTTCGTAACTACTTTCTAGGAGTTCAACGTCCTGGACACCCAACCGGCTGAGTACCAGCCTCTAACGGCAGAAACTCTTTCGTCCAACCAGACAGTGTTTTGGCTAGTATGGACCACACTGTTCCTGGCTGTACTGCTCGTACTTACCGTCATGATGTGTCTGTCACAAAGAGCCGATTATGTCAGGAGGCTAAAGGCTGCTACGGCTACCGCATATTGTAAGCATTTTGTTTTATAAACGAGATCCATAATTCTATATTTTTAATTTCGTTTGTTATTAGTTCTGCATTGTAAATATGTCTATCGTCGCGCGTCGGCCGCGTGACACCAGATCAGAAAAATATATAATAAAACAATCTTTCAGAATTTACTGATGATACATTAGTCAAATTAGTGCATCGAGCGTAGGTACATCGACGATACGCTCGACGTATTTTTCGTCAAATGTGTAAGCTTCCTTATCAGATAACATGTATAAATCTATGTATAGGTACTATGGTGTATTGTTTTAATTTCCATTTCAATGGGGTTATTCACAGTAGTAGATAGCTTATAAAATTGTCGAAATCACAATCTCCGGAAAGCAACTGGAGGTCAACAGTCGACTTTTGCGGTCTAATAAACACAATGTTTTTTACCATAGAATGTAACAGAACTGTTAGCCCCGGTACTGTAAACTGTCCCAAACAACGTTCTTATATTATTGGCTCAATTACTCATTTATAAACCACTGGCAAAGTATTAAATCATTTATTTTGTTTTTCATTTATTAGTCTTATTACATTGTGCTATAATGTATTTGTTTTCTGTGCAGCGTCACCAACTCCTGGGGAATCAGATATGACCATCCGCAGCTCTGGAGGTCGAGTGCCTAATACAAATAAACACAGTACAAAAGGATCCAACCCTATATGGCTCCATGCATATGAAAATGATTGGTACAAATCAGAAGATCAACTCAGTCGCTCCGAACGTGACTCCCTCGACGAAAACGCAGTTGACCAAGACTTGTCAAATGAAAAACCTTACTTCATAACTACTGGCGCCTTTCCCTCACTAGAGTCTAACGAAACCGAACCCCAAACAAATCAAGCAAAGTACGATTTCTACCAACAATTAGAACAAATGAAAAACGCAAAAAATATGGAAACGACTGAATTGTAATCTGTATTGTTAATTGTAATGATAGATATTGATAATTATGTGCCTTTGTAAATTATGTACCTCCATTTTTATCTGAATACATTTTGTAATAAATTAATTTATAGAATCTCGTTTATTTGTATAGCCAATTAGGTATTTCCCATCCGTTCCTCCACGATCTTTTGATATGCTATAAGTATTCTATCAAGAGTGGCAGTATGTGCAGTGGGAACTAGCAACCGGACAACTCCACAATTCGGGATATTTATGTGAATTTGTGTAGGAATATCTTTCTTGGTAGAAATTCATATATGACCAACCCCCGTTCAACTCCTGCTCTGTTCGGTGGGGCTGCAATGCCTGAATATATAGCAATCTACTTGCATCCTAAACAATGAAACCGAAAATGTCTGAAAAATAATGAAACAAACCGAAAAAAAAATTAGAAAGTTACAATAAGCGCTCACTACATCACAAACTACACCTCTCGACTTACCCTAGGCAAGAGAAATCATTGGACTTCCCTTTCCACTCCAAAAAAAAGGAATCACAAACGACCAACTCTTCAAAAATAATTAACTTACCAGTTATGTTTGTCTACTAATTTTAAATTAAATCAAATGAAGTCTCGCTCCATAAATTATGGATCAGCCATGACTTGCTGTAAAATTATCACTAGGCGAAGAAGCGTGAATTGGGTGAAAACCCTCACTTCAATGGCGAGGGAGTGCTGTAAAGCACAATATGTCGGGCATAAAATGTCGGGTACCCAAATGAGTAGAAAGCGTCTATATCCTACACTTGATACTCATAGTCACAAAAGTACGAGATAATCAGGGAATTGCAGCCCTTTTAGTGCCGAATTGCTAACAAAACAAATAGGTAATTTTATTGACACCGAGATAATTGGGCATACATATGAAGAGCGGCCGGTCACAAGTTTTCAAGTAATTTAGGTCCTGTCTCACGATTTCACAATATGCACTACTCAAAAATATAAATCAGTGATATTTAGAAGTTAAATATGCAGTAGCTAAGTATAGCAAATAGCCTATTATCAAATCGAGGACATCTTGGTAAGGCTGGCTTACGGTATTTACTCAAGTAATGTTAGACTAATTTGTGTATCTAAGTAACGGAAAACTTGACACTAATTCAAAAGAAACTGAAAAAATGTTCCTTTGCTGCGTGTTTAATCTCCCACAATAGTGAGTGTTACTTGGAAATTTAAGAATAATACTATAGGTAGAAATAATTATTGCGTATACACGCTTGTCGCCTTAAAAAGGTAGTGTTGTGTACAGATATTGCCCAGGTGTAGGATAGGGTCAAAAGGAAAGAGTAGCTTTTTACCACTAAGCTATGTGTATTTTGCATTTTAAATCTAAACATTGAAAAATCATACTTAAAGTACGTATACGATTCCAATTTCCCTCGACCGTGATTATGGTAACAAATATGTTAATCACCTTCTAGATTAAAATGTTGTAAGCAAAACGTCATTGCGCTACGGTGAAGCTGAGATTTTTATCATTTTCATAGAGATTATTTTGGCAGATTCTCAGTCAGTGCCCTAGTAACCAACTATGTCAGCTAATTAAACTGAAATGAATGTTTACAGCTGCTTACGTTTACCAGGAAGTTGCCTAAATAAAGCTCAAGGTGTTATTTACATACACAATAATTTATTGTTTCTTACAATTTAGTGAAGCTAAAATACAAGTTGTTGGTTGATTACAATTTGAAAAGCTTTAAATTTGAATCTCCCAGTGATAGATCAAGTGAACAAAGCTTCCTCTTGCCTGCAGCTGTAACGTTTAACACACCCATGCTAGCCACTCGTGCCGTGACGCTGTACACTTCAGTAAGTTTGTTCAATTACTCAGAGGAAACGAGGATGGTTCAATGGAAAGGACAATCGTGGAAATCACAACGCAGGTATCCTTACAACCACAATATATATTAGATAAAATTATAATATAAATCGCCATATTGAAAAAAATCTAGATTAATCGTAACTTATCATCTTATGAGATACACTGTAATTTATACTGAATGTTGTTACTATTGGAGCGTTTTCCATTGTCATAAAATATTGTGGATGAAAGAAAACTGACCACTTCAATCAACGTCAGTCTGGTCTGTAGCACGCTACATTTACTAACTTAAAAAAAAGTTGTTTTCTAGTAAAAAAATTAACACTCACTCCGTCAACGAGCTCATTTTGTGATACCACTTACTTACATTACCCAAAATGTTCTTAACACTTATGAGCTTTACTTACATTTCATTGACAAAATCCTAAGTGAACTGGACAATTAGTAAGTAGTAAGCAAAGAACGCTCCATTTCCTAACATATGGCTATTGTACAGTTTTACAATGCAATTTAGATCTAGTTAAAGTACAAATAGTTTAGGAATTACATAAATTCAATTGATGTAAATTTAACTAATCTTTAAACTTCAACTAAACAAGTGTAAAGATATCTACTGACACATCAATGTAAAACAAAAAATAATTTTGCTCTTATAGAAAATGTTTCTTATCAGATAAAAACAGAAACTATATTTGCACATGGGAACCTGTTACTTACGATGCAATATATTCGCAATACCATAATATACGACAGAAATTAGGCAGGTCCTAATATGACCATGATCATTTTTACAATCTCCAGTTAATTTAGGTTTGATGGGGATAACAAAGGATTGGGGAGCAGGATTAAAGGGATAGGGAATGGGATTAGAGCCCGGGCTGTGGCGATGTGTGTGTATGTTTGCTGACGTCACAATTGACTCATCACATGGCATATTTCCTCGTCCACTCACGGGCTAGTTCATTGTACTTTTCTCTGTCCGTTTTGTAGATCCTAGCAATTTCTGGCACCAACGGGTCATCTGGGTTTGGATCGCATAGGAGTGAGCAGATTGAAAGCAACACTGGAAGTCAAAACAAGATTTCATAAAGTTTTTGTCTTCTTAAATGTAACCAACAACAAATATTTTAGATAAGATGAAAAACAGTTAATTATAATGTTAAATATGCAATCATTTTTACCTTTGGATATGGTGAGTGCTGGGGACCACTGTGAGCGCAGAATATCAAGACAAATGGAACCATTACTGTTTATGTTAGGATGGTAGATACGTGTTGTGAATGCAACTTTTGGTGGTTTGAATGGGTAGTCTGTAGGGAAATGTATGGTCAGAAAGAATACTCCTCCTTGATAAGGACTGTCGACCTGTAAAGATAAAACAACACATTTAATTGATACTCACTCATGGTTTCCAAAAAATAAGTTTTAAAATAAATAAAATACTTACTGGACCCATAATTGTGGCTTGCCAATGGAAAACTGAAATCAGAAAAATATAGCATGTATATTTAAACATAGTTAAAAATATCTTTATAGCACAATAGAAGGTTAAACAAGAAAAACTAAAATCATTGTTATTCCACTAAACAAGGTCATTGACATAAGTTGTCACTGCAAACTGCAATTTTTAACACAAAGAAATATTAATTGCAGCAGTAGTTATACTGCATATTTTTAATTATTTTGGAAAAACTCATTGACTAGTTGGCATTATCATTTTCCATGTTTGTTTTCCAATTAGGATCTTATTTAATTCAAAATAAGATACTGTATTAGTTTGGAAGTTCAATATCCTCTACACAGTGTACAGTAGCATTTTACTATGGAAAATGTCTATATAGAAATGAGTCATTCTGCAAATAATAAAATATGACTGAGTCAGGAAATTCTGAGCTTAGTAATATAAGTAACAGCATTTAATAATAGAATAACTGTTTTATAGACACACAATCAATATTGGCCTTATTCAAATAAGAATAATAAAGGTAAATCAACTATTATACAGCTTTGCCACTTTCCCAGATGATGTTTTGAAAAGATTATTATGTTTACAGAGATATAGTATTTCATTTTGATGATTTGAAAGTCTGTAAAGAGTTGCTTTTAGACTCAATAAATTAAATATTTAAGGCAATTTACTTCATTTTTATAAATAATTTAATGAGCTCAACATGATCATCACAACAATTCAAAAAAATCAATACTGATTTCTATTCAAAACCAATGATCTGCTTCCATGACACTGTTTCACAGTATTATTATTATCCAACACAATGAGTCACAAAAAATAAGTAGGCTGTAGATTATAAGGTACTTACGATCTTCACCGTGTGGACCTGCAGAACATTGTGCTGGTGGATCTCTGCCCAGATCTTGTAATTCCTGAACAGTAAAACAATATCATGTGGACACAATAACATAGGAAACACAATACCATGGCTAAAACACGTCACATCATCATGTCGAAAAATAAATGGGGGTTGAACATATTGTAACGTACTGCAACATCGATTTGTGATCGAAGTAATATACATCACTAATCATCGTATAACATCTAAACGTTTCACATTTTCACGACACAGATGGGTTTCATGACAAGAAAACCTCAAAATTGGCACATAATTCCGACATTTTAAGTACGCCGTGTGCACAAAATTGTCACCTACATCTACCAGTAAACCACCGTTATTTCGTTAAAGTAACACACAAAACAAAATAGTTTTACATCTAAAGATTTCAATAAAACCATCACACACGAGGAATTATCCAGAAGAAATTTCGATAATAGGTATTCACAATGACGAAACATTCACTACGAAGTCTGATACCATTTTTACAACACTTCATTTGATACTGTATCAAATTATTGAAATATATATCACAAATACCAATACGTACCCTATTAATTCGTTTTAACGCCATTTGATTATTTTATGATGGAATAAACTGACTTTCAACTAGACAACGAAACTGTGAGCCAAGGACCTTTGATTAGAGATTGCAAGATGGCTCCCGTCTAAACGCAAAAGTACCACCTAAGTCGTTTTATGCAGTAATATTGAATTTCTACTATCGAGGATCAAACTTTAACCGCTTAAATAAAAAATAATAATAACTTATAATAAGAAAAAATAAGAACTAGAACAGAGCACGGATTGTAACAAAATTATACACTCTCAGCAAATGGAGAACAGCAAACAGGAAAATCGACCATTTACAAAGACCGTTCTGAATTGCACAGTTTTAACATGTAAGTGCCGTTTATGGTTAGACGTTTTTTTAATTTAGTAATGTTTCTGTTAGATTTAAATAAACATTTGTTGTAAAATACTTGTTACTTTGAAATCATGGATATTTTAATCAACACTCTTAACAAATTTTATGAAATAATTTATATTTTTTTTTGTTTACAAATGATATTACGATTATTGATTTTTGAAAACTATATTTCTTTATGGTAACACTGAAAGTAGAAGGATATGACGTGATGCTGAGTTAAGAATTCTCTGAGGCGCTATTTTTGGATTATTTGGAGATATTCATTACTGAAGTAGGCTCGCCGGTTATTTTAGAGCACATTTTTGCAATTTGAAACTTTTCCAGGTAGATGGTAGATCCGTTAATTTGAACAATAAGGGTAACCATAACAACCCTTTTTTAAAATATAATTTTAGTCTGATTTTACACAAATTGATGGTTTTAGTAAAATTATTGATATGTTTTAGAGTTAGTATAATCTTATTTTAGAAAATAGTTATTATTATAATAGTTTATTACAGTTATAAGGCAACAATGACTTTCGAATTCTGTTACATCTAAGTTCGAAACTATGAACCTGAGGGTCATATTTTATGCATTGACTTCGTGGTTTATTGTATTGTCAGAAAGTAATAATAAACAATATACAAAACATTTTTACGTTAGGTATACTTATAATTACTTTCTATGAGTTTACACCAAAGAGTATGTAACCACTACGTTTACACTGTTCCCTTTGCCCCAACTGTATGTGTTGCCCCAACAAATTATGAAACAGACAAAGCACTGATGTAAACAATGATTATACAAACAAAATGTATGGTACATACATTATTACAGTATTTTATTTTTTACAAATTTTATTCAAAAGAATTATCTAAAAAACGTAAAGCAACGTACTTTTATACGTTTACGACAGAGATTTAATTATTATATTATTTTTCATATGGCAACACTTCCAATGTTGAAATACTATTATAATATGATGTATCTTTATTTAACGTAGACAAAGAACAGAGAATTCTATTCTCTCTCTACGGTATGTAAGGATATTGATATGATACTGTAGTTATCTATGGATAATAATGAAATATTAAAATTTATACTTTTACCCACCTACTTTTATTTTCTTCGTTTCATTCTATTTCGTACACGATATCGGGTTACATAGGCTCTGTAAAGCTTATTTTTGATCAAAAGTAACGATTAATAAAAAAAAATACGCGTCGAATTGAGAACCTCCTCCTTTTTTGAAGTCGGTTAAAAAGAAGGAACGAAGGAAAATTATGTACCTAACGAAGGAAAAATTAGTGATTGCACAATAATAACGGACGGCAAGTCATTCTTCTTGAATTATTATTTCTGTGTGTGAGAAATTCAGACGGCACATATTTTTTCAAATTGTACATACTAAATTTAAAATTTACATGTGCATTGTGCATGCATCTCATTTTAAATACTTGAAACGCTCTAAACTTACACAAACAATTAAATAAAATTATTTTTAATAAAGCGAGATGTTTCGTTATGGTTTTAGGTACTTATTCTAGAGAAATACAAAATAAAATTTAGAACTAATTTTAATCACAATAATTCTGATGAGATAAATCAAAACGCTTTTCAATTTTATTGCTCTGTCATGCATCGATTGTAAATACAAAAGTATTTTGATTGGTGAGTGTGTTTTATTAACCAATCAAATCGCATTAAAATTATGACGTTTATCAAATATCTATGCAAATGTCAGTTTGACTTTGAAAGGAATTGACGGAGATGTTAGAGTCAACTTGACGTATTCTGGATTCGGTCGCAACATTTTTAAAAAGTAGTTTTGTCAACATCGCATGGGGAGTTGGTTGTGCCGGTTTATTCTTGTGTGTATTATCTAGTTTTGTTCGAAATTTTTAATTATAAGTGTGTGCATCGTTATCATTTAAATATAAAATGGATAACAACTGTCATTTCCATAATATTTAAATAGTAATTTCACGGGTATTAAGAGTCATTAAAATATTATTTCTGTGATTTTGTTAGATTAACATTCTAAAATGACTCTAACTATGACAAAAAAACTTAGCGAATGCCAAGCAGAAACAGTGCAATTTATGCCCATAGAAAAAGTAAGTGAATTTTTATATTTTTATTTGAGGGTTCGTGTGAAAAGTAGACATAAGTACCTTAAATTTTATTGATATCATCAAGTTTTGTGTTAAAGCTTTATATCGCTATCGTATTCACTAACAAGGCATTCACGGCGGAATATCAATGTTGAAGTGAATGAAAACTGATTCAGAAATAGACTTTATTTAATACTATTGAATTAAATGTTTAGGGTAATAATATAATATTCCATAAAATTACAAATATTGTATTATTATAATTGTGATTTTAGTAAAATGTTTTGATGGTAATTGGAATACAATTTAAAATATTTTACAGCACTTATTTTAATTATTATTTTTTTAATCTTCTCAAACCTTGATTTAATATGTATATATAGAAAAGAATGGTTTAATTATAAATTAGGACAGTCATTTGTTACATTGAAAAGATTTAATTTAAAAACTGTGTTGCTTATATTCAAACAGAAAAAAAATAATCAAGTAGATATGAATAATAGTTAGACTTTTTATTTTATATCATATAACTACTCTCGCGCGGTTTCACCCGGCTGCTCGACTGCTCTGCTCCATTTAGTCGCAGCGTGATGTTTTATAGCCTATAGCACTCAGGAACATCGTAGCTATTTATTAGTGCAAGAATTTTGTAAATCCGAACAGGGGTTCCAAACATTACCCCCTACATATAAACTAACAAATTTTACCTCTTTATAATATTAGTATAGATTGGCAACTAACAGTAATGCCAAAATTAAACAGCATCATTGTTTTAAGGTAGAAGATGAATGCAGAACAGAAGGCTACTGTCAATCCAGTGGTCTTCTGCGAAGAGGGAAGAAGTTGGAAGACAACAATAACTTGACCAAAGAAGAGGAGGAGTATATCAATTACCGACAACTCCTCAAGTATGAACAAGCACCGGAATACATTAAACACAATCAATACATTAGAGATGGATATAGAAAATTGTTGCCCACAAAACTGTGTTGGGAAAGGTAAATATTTATTTATGTACATATTAATACATAATACACTTTATTGTACTATATCATAGGATAACATTAATATAAACTTAGAACAAGTATATAATGGCTAGTTTTATCATACTAGGTGATAGCTAACTATTGACTATTATATACCCTATTTTATGTCATATTTAATTAGAAACAACCTTTGGATATTGAGTGGAACTTCCAAATATACTTTTGCAATGCAATTCATTTTTCTATCGTAAGGCATTTAATTTTTTAACAAATACCTTAGGATAGTCAAATACTTTAATAGTTTTGCTTAGTAAAAATTGTGATCACATCAACTGATCAGTGCTCTCTGCTAGAAATAGCAAGTTAAATACACAATTGAGAGTCCTCTGTGCCCTATTGCGCTTGTCCCGCAACCCCGGCTGCACAACAGCCGAGGATCTAGTTCTGGTCGGGCGATGAGCTAGACTAGCTCATGCTGCTAGAGCTACCCTTACTCGCCGTCTGCAGATCCACGTTTACGATGGATTATCTATCGATACTTGACGCCCGGAGTGTTGCTTCTGTGGCGGATGGGGTGGGAAGAGGAGGATACCTCCCTCACGCGCCCCGCCTTCTTCTTTGCTGGCTGCTTCACAAAAAGGGGAGAGGGCTCTCGCTCCGCAGTTCCGCACCATGGCCTCGACTAAGGCCGGGCGCGAGAGGTCGTCGCCACTGATCACAGACCTGGCACCTAACTAGTGTTTACGTGTATGCAGGCAATTATAGTGTGTTTGTACTCAGAATTTCATAAGTACATTTTCTAAAATAAGTAACTGGCCTTCAGTTTTGCCAATTCTTCTGCCTGCAGTTTTGCCAATGTAGTAGTTCAAGGTCGAGTAGGTACCAACACTGTAGGCGGTAAGAATATTTAATACTAGCAACTCCAGCGCGCTTTTACCCGCTTTTCAGCAGCGTGATGCTTATACTATATAGCCTTCTTTGACAAATGGACGATCCAACACAAAAAGGTTCCATTCGAACCAGTAGTTCCGGAATTTAACGCGCTCGAACAAACTAACACACTCTTCAACTTAATAATATTAGCATAAAGTGATATTAAACTATTTTACATTATACTCCCTGATAAGTTGGCTACGCCAAGACTAACAGACAAAGTAATAAATATTTCCTCTTTACATTGTTTTAATATGTACTCTCTGTAGGTACTCTTAGTACATGTTAGTACATGTACTAAGAGTACCTACACAGAAGTATCTCTTAGTACATGTTAGTACATGTACTAAGAGATATGTAATGGTAGACAGTCGCTGCCATTAACTCTGTTATTTATCTTGTCATTACCTTAGGCGAGATGAACTCGAGTTATAACGTAAACGTAACGTAACGTAACGAAAGTGGAAATACTGTTCTATAGGTTATAGTTGTGTATTGTACCTATGTATTGTACCTATACAACAAAATTGCCACATCATGAAGGTTGGTTAGTGTCAGTCACGATCGCGATGCTACCTAGATCGTTAAGAAATATTGCGATAGTTTTCATAACATGATAACAGTACTAAGCCCTCTTTACTTATTCGTTCGTTGGAACGTTAATTTTAAAAGGAACCAATCACTATATATATTAAACAGTATTTCTGATATCAAGAATACATTTATTAAAGATAAATAAATATTACTACTATCTACAAGTAAAGATGGGAAATAATTTGCACTTCAATTTAAATTAGCGGAATGACATTGGAAATGTCATTGTTTAATCTTTTAATTCATTTTTTCCTTTTTAAAGTAAAAAAATAAAAATCCATTGTATGTAATGTATGTTTGTACAGAGCTGAATTTTTAAATTGCTAATTAATTACCCTCTCGAGATAGGCTTTGAGATTCCACCTTAATTTCATGATATTTTCGTTATTGATAGTATCTACCTACGTAGTTTTTAATAATTATAGTATAGTTAGGCTTACTTCTTATTTAGTGTCAAATTCATTATTTCATCCGTTTTCGGTATATAATATAATGCCACGTGATATCATCAATTGAATAATGAACTTTATAGCTATTCACGATTAGTTATAATTACTGTTTTTATGTAGAATTTGGTGGCATAGGTATATTATATCTTTGGGACGATAATGAACGGACGGCATAGGTTGCTACACTGCGAAACCTTGTTATTAAGATAAAAATATCAGAAGCTATCAGTGCAATTTTATGGTAGAGGATACTTAATTGATTACCTTTCTTTAACAGTTTTATTCTGATTTACATGTTTCAAAGTTTAATACTAAATCGGATTATAAGGTAAAGGTTACATACTTTGCGAACTTGCTATTAATTGGGCACTCAAATTCTATTTCCTTGTGTGCATAATGCTTACCAGCTTGGTCAAAATAAACAAGAATGATTAAAGACATAGTTTTCACTCTACATATAAGATGGTGAAAACAAATATATTAGGTATAGCGGCGTACATAAGTATTATATTGATAGTATCAAAGTACGTAGCCGTGGAAATCAGAGTGTAACTGTATAATGATGTTTCATATTGCAGCAAATGTGCAATGTAGACAATGTTACCAGTACTAATTATTAAGCAGCTATGTACATTTGTACAGAATAAAAGGTACCTTAAGCAAAGAGGATTCTTTTTTTGTGAATTTGCAAGTCAAGTGTAACAATAACTAGACACAGGGTGGCTAAAGTACATTTTTATTACGTTACACATTAGGCAAAAGTCAATAGACCACCACAGACGGGGCCCTATAGAGCTGATGTTCAACCGGGGTTGCGGGATAAGCGCAATGACAATGAGGCACCGCGACCTCGGCCCCGAGAAGGAGAAGGAACAGGGGGGTTTTTAGTCAGTAAGAGTCTGACACTCCCTCCCACTTATTTGATGATTTTCCCCTCACAAAAAAACTCATTAGGTTATTCAGGTTCCAACTTTACCTTTTAGACATAGTTTAAACGAAGTAAAAAATTATAAGAAATAATTGACAACCACTTGTTAATAGATCCTTGATATTCTTCGTAAGTACTTAGGACATCAAAACAAATCGACCATTTTTATTTATTCACACAATAAAATAAAATGTTTGACCTCCTAACCGGCCCAAAATGTGCTATTATGCAATGCAAATTCTACTACTTACATACGTTAAGTGGCTTCCTCGTTCCAAATATGTACGAATTTTAATTTTGTTTTAGCATATTCTGGTGGACGAATGAGACTATGAACATATGGACACACATATTCGGTTTCTTCTTGCTATTGTTCCTGACCATCAATGACTTGGTGATTATAAACATCCACGCGACCGTCACAGACAAGATCGTGGCTGGTTTACTGTTCTCTTGTTTTCTGGTAAGTGTATATTAATTGCTTTATTTCTATATCATGCATATCGGTTTTGTGTAAAGCGAGGATACTCAATATGTTGTATCGATCGTCATGTGAATGAAGGCAATGATACTTTGTTATAATGTTAGATAACCTCCACTTATTACTAGACGAGTTTATGAGTTCTGTGCATACAAGTGTGGGAGAGCCGTGCTTCGGCACGAATGGGTCGGCTCGACCGGGGAAATACAACGTCCTCACACCAAACCGGCGTGAAACAATCATAGCGTTGTGTTTCGTTGTGTGACCGAGGTTACCGGAGGCCCTCACCCCCTTAATCCTTTAGTCTCCAAATTCCCAATCCCCAAAAGGTCGGCAATGTACTCGTAACTGCTCTGTTGCGAGTGTCCATGCGCCATTAATTGCTCACCATCCCAGTTTGCCCAACAATCACATAAAAAAATACAAGTTGCGACCCGTCCTGGCTTCCCACAGGAGCAATGTTGGTACTAAATTTCTCTACTATTCAATAGTCGTTATAATAAATATTTATAAAATTTGCTCTATAATTACTCTGTCTATTTAAAAACTGCATCAAAATCCGTTGCGTAGGACAGCGAAAGCGACATTTTTTATAGGTGTTACTTAGGATTTTCGGATAATAAAAAGTACTTATAACGATATTTTGCCTATTAGGGAATTGAAAAACAACACTACCACTCAATAGAGCGTGTTAACATTCATTATATTTTTTTCTGTTAGGTGGTCAATGTTTTGAAGTCAAGTATTACAACACTGGTTATTCAGGTTGCTAATAAATAATATTCACGTCTGCACAAGTCAAATTCATATTGCAGGCTTATTTTAGCACATAGTCGAGGTCTTTCGGCAAGTTTTTTTTTACAGAATTTTATAAAAGTATTTACTTATTATACTGAATATAAATTGAAATTGCTTTTATTCTTTGTTATTCAGCATTTATTATCATTTTAATAGTTAATGTTAACGCTTGGAGGAAACATTATTTTAGTAAAATCCGTCCTAAATCGTATCATAGGAACGTTGTATGGAAATTATCATTCCTAATTAGTATAGTGCTTCATTCGAAGCGCAAAAATTGTGTTTACTTAGACGAAATGAGGTTTGTTGCCCTCTTCTTGTGTTTTAATATGATATTAGCACTCGCCGATATACGATGATGCGAGAATCGCCTCGTAATATTATATTTCCATGTCCAACGTGACGTGGCCATTACGAAATGAGCTCTACACCATTGGTCGTCGGTCGATGTCTTGAAAGTTTGCTGCTCAGATGTTCGACCCGCTTTTCTCCCGTTAGTGAAAGTACAAAATTATAAAAAAGAGCGTTAATGACTGCACTACAAAGTATACTGCGTACCGATGCAAAAATTACGCTTTTGTTTCAATAAGTAAACAATGCTAATGTGACCTAAGTTTGTTCACCTTACTTACTTAAAACTATAGTTAACATATAATTTTTAAGTCGAAAGCATAATTTTTGTGAACGTAAATAATTGAAAATGCTTCACTGACGTCAAATAAAATCTAAGTAAATAGTAGGTAACTATCAATATCAACTACTCCCGCTGTATCTTTGTGTAAAAAAAACTTAATCACATACCACTTAAATAAAATAAGTAAAAACATATTTTTATTTAATTAAGTAAGTACCTAAGTACATTTTATTCTAATACATATTCATTTAAATGTTGGTGTGCAAAACACCTTGAAGTTAATTATGCCTAAGTTTGTTTAGCTTAAAATTAATTTTACACTGTAATAAACTTTCGAAGTTGGTTGATATACGCGGGAGATTGTCGGTAATCAGCCTAGTGGCCACTTATGGAATGCTTTCACTGTCAACATTACACGTCGAGATTTAGATGGATAGGATACGTTCATAATTTAAAAATGAGCGTGTATTTTTTTAAATTAAGTATTAAAATGCGTAGATGCAGGCTGAATGGAAATAATATAATAATCCGTTTAAAATAAAAATTAATATTTTTATTTAATCTGTAAATACTAAAGTACATGTTGTTTTTTTTATTTATGTACCTAAGAATTCTATGTTAATATTTCCAGATGCCTTTTTAAAAAACTATTTAGGTACTTATTGTAAGTACGTAGTCTACGTAGTAATCGTGAAAGCAAAAGGTTATGCATCTCTCATTGAGAGGTCACTCGTTGAAACAGGTTACTATTGTGCCAATAAACGTCGCTATATTCAACATTTTGCGCTTTTAACACGTAAATTACAAAGAAATTCTATGAAAAGAAAACTAGCTTACATGTATATACAAATGCTATTCAATTGAATTGAAAGTAAGAATGAGAAACCGACAAACGATCGGATAAAGAACGCCAATTCCAATCGGCAATCACTCATGATCAACACCATTTTGTTTATAGTTTTGCACTACATTCATTCATGTCCAAGTATCAAAGTGTTGGCATTTGTAGTCATAAAGTTGTAAACTGTCCGTGGCTAGTGTTGCACCGATGTTGCAACTCCAACGAGGTTGTAAATAGTGGCGCGATGTTCGTAGTGGGGGTAAGCAGAGGAGTCACTCTGTGTGCTCGTTTTGACACAAAAAAACTGGTTGGGTTTGATAACTAAGCCTAATACGGTATTCTGAGCTATGTTAAATAGAATGAGATAAGTTTTGTTTGTTTTAGGTCACAAAGACTATTGGGTTTTTACGTTACCTTCTAAATTAACTAACTAAAAATCATGGGTTACTCACGTGTATAATATCGAGAAAAGCTCTACTAGTTTCGAACCACAGTGGGGTTTTATACACCTGAGTAACCCGCGATTTTTAGTTAATTTAGTATGTCTCACGATACTACTTATAAAAACATTTACCTTCTAAATAAAGTTCTTGCTAAATAAAGCTGACATTATCTGCTAGTGGGACAGTTGTTTTATGAGTTCATTGCCAAAGCTTTTGAAACATTCGAATGCATTCTCTAAACGTACTGCATAAATGTTTATCTGAGATATGTATAATTTTGAATATAAATAGGTTTCACAATTTTATTAACTATCGCATATGCTAAGGCAAAACAACCTTAACTCGCATTCGAGTCGCATTCAGACGCAATATGACAAGATCATTGATTTTCTTTTGCAAGAAAGTGCACGTGTACTAACACATGTCATTGAATGAAGCCGTTATTGTTCCATCGATTTTATTTCTAAGAATTCTAACGTTTAATTATTTCATATTCTAACAGTTGGTATCTTATATCTATGACCTTATGACGTCATTAAGTTATGTAATTGCTCAAGTTGGTACGATGCTGCTCTCTTCAATGATTTTTGGACCGGTTTGCAAAATTATGTATTTTACAATGTTTGGACCTATTTTTAGATATAAACAAGGTCGTGTTATTTGGTCATGTGTGTTAACTATTCCGTTTAGGTTATTTCCGCGTAAATTCTTAACTAGCACTTAACCAATGCATATGCGTATTAGGTAATTACCATTGAACATTTGTGGATTTTTATAAGTTCAATATTAAGGTCTTCTATTAAAAAGTTATGTCATAATAAGGATACTACTTATTTGGTTTTATAATAGCTTCTGGATTTTCCATAAGAAACCGTTTAATTAATCCACAAGAGTTTGACAAAGTGGGTGACAGATTTCTCTCAGTAAAAATTAGAAATAAAAATAAGCTACTGCTACCTTTTTTAATTTCCAATCATTTCCAAAAACATAGGTTAATGTTTGAGCACTAAGTTATGATGCTTGAAGTGATGTCGTAGTGATATGATGTCTTTACTGAGTACCTTGTAGGTGTAGGCTCAGTAAACACACAAAAAACGGTTGTTGGAATGTTTGTCGTGTGTTGAAATGGAACGACATACGTGGATATATATGTACCATATGTCTTAATTAGTTAGCCTTCATTTAATAATATTTCATTTAACAATATTTTTGAAAAATAATAATACCTAAGGGTATTGATGAATTGAAATGAAAATACATACTTGTTACTTGAAACTGTGTTTGTTCAATGATATTAAAAAGAGCTTTATTTTAATAATTTATATTTTTTCGTTTCCAGATTTGCATGGCGTTGTCAGCCCTCTACCACACGTTCTCTTGCCGGTCAGAGCACGATTACAACACGTTCCTCATGTACGACCTCTTTGGAATCGCGCTCTCCTTACTGGCCATCTACACTTCCGGTGTTTATTACGCATTCTGGTGTCATTCTGTAAGTTTTTAAATTATACTTTATGCTTGTTGTGGTTATGTGGGTATTGTACGCGGCGCCATATTGCAATTTATGAGATCGCGTGTTTTTAAATCGTCGTGTAAAGGAAATGGTCGCATCTGATTCGAGCGAATTAGCAATTTGAGATTAATGGAGAAATCAATGGATAAACGTTCATATCTACACAGTACAGTTCAGTGTACACATTTCTTCAGTTTCCTGTACATATGTGTTGTATACGAATGAGGTCCCTAAAACTCTTTACTGAACATGTAAATTCCTCTAAATCCTCTCTCCAATATCCTTTGCCTTTATATCTTGTTCCAATTTTGAAATTAATTTAGGCGTCAAGAGCGAAAAAACGTCTATATTGTACAAGAAAAGAAACAAATCACGCAACGGAATGTCTTATCACCTGTGAACAATAATTTGCTCTAATTAACAATTGGTGGTCGATCGATTAGAATTCTTAATTGTCACGTTTGATGATCATTAACAGCTGTATACAAACAACTGCATTGAAAGAGCTCACCATTCGCTTTTCTCGCCATTCACGGGTATCACACGCGATTGTAAGGCTCTTTGCCGTAGATATAATTGCTTATGTAATTACCGTGTCATTATAGTTTCTATTGTGTGTACATACTGCCTTATTTGTGACGTATTTTATGGCGACATATTTTTAATACCCGGTTTGCTGTAGAGGAATATCGTGTTTAAGACTGCTGTTGTTAGCAATTATCTTAATACAGACTAGCTACTCTCGCGCGGTTTCACCTTTTGCTCAGCTCCATTTGAGCATGACGTTTTATAGTCTATAGCACTCAGGAACATTGTAGCTTTCTATCAGTGTAAGAATTTTGACAATCTGATCAGCGGTTCCAAGGATTACCCCCTATACATATACAAAATTACAAACATACAAACTTACTTTTATCTCTTTATAATATTAGTATAGATTTCAAAGAATGCGTTTATTAGTGTTACATTTTTCTTAAAAATCTCTAAAGTGTGATTACAAAACATTTGCCCGCACTGGTGGAAAAGATGCTAGAAGACCGGCTAAACATTTCGTTGTTTTGAATTCCGCACGGAATTCTGATGCACAAATTGTTGTTCGAGTTTGGTTGTGACGTGTTGTGTATATGTATAAGAGAAAAGGTTCAACTTATCAAAAAATCCCTTTTATTGAAAGTGTGGGAGAGCCATGCTTCGCCACGAATTGATCGGCTAGACCGGAGCGATTTACTGCCTCACAGAAAACCTGTGTGAAAGAACCACAGAGTTGTTTCGCCGTGAGCGTGAGGTTACCGCAGTCCCATACCCAAAGCTAAAGCTAAAATTGTTTATTCCAAAAGGCTGGCAATGCACTTGCACCTCTTCAGGTATTGCTGGGGTCCACGGGCGACTCTGATTGCTTATCATCAAGTCTTAGTAATTTGTCTGCTCGTTGATCGAGGTCTCTCGAATGAGCACATAAAAACGGTTTCCAAACTTCGAGTCCTTTCCATAAGATATGAGACCGTTCTTCATTCAAATCACGTATCAATTCAATTAAAAAGTAAGAACGTACGTATAATTTATTCATGATTTAAGACTGTTCTAGAATACAACCTCGTTACTACCACAGTAACGAGTTCATTGTATAGACAGACCAGTCTTGGTATTAATTATAGGTAATACCAACAGGTGCTTTTGGTACACCTAAAATAGTTCTATATACTTAGTAATATGTATTCATAATTTTTTTATATACAAATGTATGTACGCGCATAACTCTCAAATGGCTGCATCACAGTTGATAAATCTAAATTTTTTTTTTAAATGCATTCTTATTGTCGACTTCAAACCTGAGTGAAAACAAAGAACATAAAAGCGAACTTTCTGGAACTTTTCATTGTTTTACAAAATGTATTTCTTGTTATTTTCATTTCGATCTGGAATTACCATTGACGTAGTTCTCAGATCGTGATTATATTTAATTAATAAATTATTTATTGTTATTATGCTAACATTCTTTCGTTTCGCAAATATGTAAGGTCAAGTCCGTGGTCAGGTAGGCAGGACACATTGTGTGAGTCAATGAGTCCTTTATGCATGCATACAGGGTGCGTCCGTCTGTCTGTTGTAACATCTATTGCAAAACAAAGCGCCAATGACCTTCTCATACCATCCGAGTTGTTTTACTCGAATTTAAATCGTTGCTTTAGTGTGATTGTATTAATTACGATAGATGTGGTAATTTAATAGACCACCCATGTAGGATGAACGCCTATTGAATAATGAATTATGTGTGCAGTTGTTTTAGATCACACAAAAGCGTTTATGACTCTAGTGAGAATAGAGATATCTTTAAATAAAAAGGTTTCAAAAAAATCTGATTTATGAAACTTATACATAATATTTCTATATTTATTTACATACTTCGCTTTAATTTTTTTTCTGCGTGACTATCTCTAGACTTCGCACCATAACCGCTTGGTTTTTCAGCTCCACCCTATGGTTTGCCTTGGCATGAAATCCGCCATTAGCTATGTATATCGTTTGAAAAAATACAATAAAATTGTAGATACATTTGATTGTTAATTATAAGAATAAGGCATAACTTTGATATAAGAGAGTCAACAATGAAATATTAAAATAATTTAAAATGACTTCATAATCTAAAAAGTTTACTAGAAATTACAAAAAATAAATTATTATTTAATTAAATTATAAAAAGTAACCAATAGCCAAAAATCACTACTTACTGCTGTACCTACTTAATAGTATTTCTGTCACTAAGTGTAGTTTTTCTAAACAAAATACTAAAAAACAATAAGTATTTGTAAGTTTTTGTTGCCATTAGTATTAAGATATAGAATGTTGTAGTAGGTACAAAGGTGTAAAACCTTTGTGTAAAACAGTCTTTAGAAATGCGTCAATATACTTAAGTGATTTTTGCGCACGCTGTAAGTGCTTTGAGCTTATAATTATATTTATTTATTTATTATATTATATAAAATAATTTTTACCAAAAAAACTAAACTAAAAAGCAGAAAATAAATTTGCAGAAAGCAGAAAATTTACTACTTTGTCCAAAACAAAGTAATACATAATTTAGAAATTAATATTTAAAAATTATTTTATAATCTTGAATTCGGTGCCAAGTAAAACAATAATAGTGTAAAGATATTATCTACCTTCATACCTACCTATTGTTAGTTCGATGATTCCTACCGATCGATGATGATGATCGAAGTTGAGTACCGACCTTTATATTTTTCTAATACTGTTGCTGTTTGGTATGTAGCATTTACTTGATACCGACTTCAAGATTATAAAATAGGGATAGGTTTTCATCATTATTTATCCTAAAAATAACATCAAAATTATCAATTCAATATAATTACACTAAGCAGTTACAATCCTTTATTATGAAACCTGTCAATGAGAAAAACAAATAATACCAACTGAAAGAAGTAGTACAATACGACATGTTTAGAGAAATCTGTTACTTACTTCTTACATAAGGATATTGCAAATAATTGCTTCTTCAAATAATTGCACTGAGTTAGTCAGCTTCAGTTATCATAACACATAGGTACATAGGTAATGTATTTATTTTGTAGTCCTTGAATTGTACTTTTGTGCCTACATACCGACACATTATTCCCATGTACCCTTTATCCCTTAAAAGGGGTATTCAAACATGTTGGATGTAATATCAGTTCTTAGTTCGCTGTGTTCTGAGTGTAAAACGTTGGATAGAAAAAATACGTAGTTATATATTTACTAGCTAGTATCGCGCGGTTTCACCCGCTGCTCAGCTCCATTTGATCGCAGCGTGATGTTTTATGGCCTATAGCATTCAGGAACATTGTAGCTATCTATCAGTAAAAGGATTTTGGCAATCCGACCAGCGGTTCTAAAGATTACCCCCTACTTACAAACTTACAAATTTTACCTCTTTTAATATTAGTATAGATATATACTTTATTATACACCACATAAACACAGGACAGCTTACAAAAATCGAATGTACAATGGTCTTATGTGTGTGTCATGTACGAGTATCTACTCTCGCGCGCTGTCACCAGCTGCTCGGTTCCGTATTTAAGTGTATCGTGATGTTTCATAGCCTATAGCACTCCGGAACATTGTAGTAGATGTGAAAACAAGAAAAGATACGTTTAGGTTTACATTTCTATTCATCCTTACAAAATGAGGGACTTTTTGATTGTATTGAAAGGTTTTAATAAAAAAAACCCGGTCAATGACCAGTGCAATAACCTTAGTATTCAAACCGGGTTGATTACCTGCTAAGTATCTATACAAATAAAATGTTTTAAATTACTAATTTAAGTGATAATCAAAGCTAACTATGTATCCACATAGTTTTAAAAACAAAGAAAGTACTTATGTTTTTCTTTTATCGCAGTAATGTATTGTTCTTCGACGAATTGGTAGGCAAGAATGGGAAAAATAGTCATGTCGTGTCAGTCATGCCACGACATGGCATCATCTTTACAAGTACCTAGCTACAGCTCCAGATCGTGGCGTGATGTTTTATAGACTATTATCCTATACTATCGATACTAAGAGAAGAATAATGTTAGATCATATTACAAAAGAATTGTTCAATTCAAACTAGTAGTTCCGGAGATAAGCGCGTTCAAACACAGACATACAAACAAACTTTTTATATTATTGGTATAATTTAGTATTAGTAACTATATTGTGTTGAAACAAAAGAATTCCACCTTTAAAGTACTTATAATCCAAGCCAGTCATTTTCGTAGTTAATTTGCGGATAGCTCACTATTGTAAACGCCTATAGACAATCAAGAGTTTCGTAACAGATTATACATATAGTACAGAAAGCTAATGTCTTTCAATATCAAATTTTTTACGGTTGAAAATCCTCCAATTTGTTGGACCAGAGAAGCCATTGGAGCATGTGATTAAAGGAGTGTCAGTCTTTTATGTCTTAAACCCACTCCGATCCTTCTCTTTCTTCTGGCCCGAGCTGAGGTATATTATTGCGTTTACCCCGCAATCTGGATTGAATATCGCGATCGACCGAGCGACCTATCTAAAGATTAAGTGCAGAGTAAGATGCAGAAGATCATTCCTAACAGACCACGTAATGCGTTATGCGCCTATTTAAGAAATAATTGTATGAATTTAAACCAAATACGGATTAATAATAATTACACACATGTAATAAAACCGTCGTGCTCTACAAATTATACATGGAAGTTTCACATGAAAATAATTGTGTGCACGACCTGACAATGCCTGACGTTTACGTACTTCTTATACATCTACCTAAATGTAATTTGTCACATAGTAATGTCGTAATCTTTACTTAAACTATAGTATGGCAATAATCTTTACTTAAACTATAGTATGCCAATATAAGTACTTGCTTTCCACCTCAGATTTTAGCAGACTATCTTTTTTCTTTTTCTCTAATTCTCTCGTAGATATGATCTAGTCATCCGGGTAAAAACTGCTCCATGTCACTCCCTATAAAGTCAACATTTAGGTGAAACAATTTCCCACAATTATAGTGAACAGAACTTTCTTTATTTACGAAATTTACAAAACTTCTAAAGGCAATGAAAACAAAAAACCAACCACAAATGATATTTTTACGAGTGTAAAGATTACTTTAAATTAATTTGAATCTAACATTTACATTACAGGAACTAAAAACGTTTTACATGACATCGGTAACCGTAATCTTCGTGGTGGCGATGGTGCTGCAGATCCCGCGGCTAGGGGTGCCGTACCTCGTCAAGATGTGCGTGTTCATCGGCTGGGCAGCCTACGGAGTGTTGCCTACGCTGCATTGGACGTACACTATGGGCGGCTTCGAAAACCCTATGGTCCAGGTGAGAGATTTTGCTATTACTGGTCCAACGCACAATCGGCTCTAGACCGAGGCCGCGGTGCCTTATTGCGCTTACCCCGCAACCCCGGCTGATCTAGCATGACCATAAAACTGTGATCTGTAGGCCTAAGATGAAATATTAAAGCGTCAATCTTCCGGGTGAGAAAGAGGGATGAAGCTATACACCTTTTTTAGTATCATGGTAGGCCCTCTGAGCTCTCCTTTGTTTTCATCTCAATCTGGGGATTTATGAAAACCATGTATTTAAAAAAGGGCTAAATATAATAAAAATTGCAGTCATACCCCAGTTGCTTATTACATCATCAGCCAATAAGTGCCCTTTGCTGAGCAAAGGCCTCTTCTCACTCGGAGAAGGTTTGAGCATTAATCACCACACTTGCTCAGTACGGGTTGGCGATTTCAAACTTATAATTAGAAATTATAAGTCCAGGTTTCCTCACGTTGTTTACCTTCACCGTATGTCAGTGGTGTCTAAATAACCATAGAATACTTAGTTGCTTATTATGATAATGTTAATGATAAATTTTAACGTGTTTCAGATGTTCTTCCCTCGCGTGATTGGGATGTATGTGATAAGTGGCACTGCCTTCGTGATATACGCCTTCAAGGTATGTATTAATAGCTGCGCATTTGGAAATAAGAGAGTGATAGATTCTCTAGGTTCCTTAACTAGACACAATTGACTTGTTGATTGAACGGTTGGCGCGTTGGCTGGGCAACCAACACCAACTTTTTGCGTGATCTACAAATTGTTGTGCCGGGTCTGGGTGTGATGTGTATGTGAAATTGTATGTTTGTGAACGCACCCACAACACAGGAGATAATCCTAGTGTGGGGCAACGTGTTTTAAAAATCATTATCTCTGCTGTAACATGAAAGGCAAAAAAAGAGTTCTGAGTTCATATTATTAGTTTATTAAGCTCCCTGATTAAAATATTTGTCTAGAGCTGAAACAAATGAGGTATATTTACAGAAAACAAAAGAATGTAGAATATTTTATAAAGTCAATATATTGTTCTTATTAATTGTATGTTAAATAGTACTATTGGAGTACTGAGGTTGTATGCAAATTTTAATGAATTCTTTTCGAGTGACGGCCGATATAAATCGGAATAATTTCGTTTAAGTACAAATATTTTTGTTTAGTATCGTTTTGATATACGTAAAAGGCTGTTTTAAATATGCGAAGATAATTGGGTAGTTTTCGACGTCAAAAATGAATTAATCCGATGTTTCAATACAATGAAATATTGAAAAAATAAATATACTTTTATTCATATAATCGATCGATACACTGAATTTTTGATATTTTTTAGCTAATTTTAAAGAAGTACCTAAACTATTTGACGCAAAAATTATGTCACAAATCAGTTTTTCATACAGATTTCATAGAAAAGTATCGTGTTTGACATTTGAAGAAAAGTATTGAATTTGACTAGTTGGAAACGACCGTATTATTCAATTTCTGACTGCTAGCTCCAAAAGTTGAGTAAAGAATCAACATTGTACGCCATACGGGTGACACAAACTTTCAAGTCCTAAACATTAGAAACTATTAACTGGTTTTAATAAAAATTGGTATTTATACGCAATATTTAGTAAATTTTCGAAAACGGGGTTAAAGAGACAGAGTGGCAATTTAAAATTTCCATACACAATAAAAATATTATGAAAATATTTTAATTAGTATTGTAATTATTACTAAGTTTTATTAAAATCGGTGCGGCAGTTTTCATGATTATGTACTTGAAATAATTTAAGTTTATAAAGTTCTTTCGCCTTTCATTATAGGTAGGCTATTAATCATGTGACGTAGGTAGTATCTAAGTATACGTATATGGAAATAAAAAACATAAATACCTTCATATTCAGGACTTAAAGATTAACATCTCTATAATTAATGATAAGTAGATATTAACTTTTTTATCGTGCTTATTCAACACGCAGGTGTGTAAAGCTATATTTCGGTACGAACAGACAGGCTCGACCGAAGTATTACCACGGCCTTATAGAAATCAGGCATGAAAAAACTACAGCGTTATTTTTCGTAGTGGATGAGAGAGATTACCTACAGTAGGCCCAATCATCATTTTCCCTGTTATGCTTAACATCCCTATTTAAATTCTCAGAGCACTTGTGTTTTTGGTGTTGTTGTATCGGTCTATCGTCGGTGATAAATTGCCATCAAGTGATCCGAGTGCTCATTTCCCGAAAAAAACTGAATATTAACTAAATAATGCAGATGTCCATGAGCGACGCTGATCGCTTACCATCAGGTGATCCGTCTGCTCGTTTGCCTCCTATTCCATAAAAAAACTTTATGGTACAACAAAAGAGTAACAATATAAACATTTTAATAGTACAGTGTACAAAGGCGGCTTTTTTAACCGACTTCCAAAAAAAGGAGGAGGTTCTCAATTCGACCGTATATATGCATTTTTTTTTGCTAAAACTGATCTCCAGCAACCATTATTAAAGAACAATTCAACGCATAATTTCCATTTACTTAATTCCAGGTACCGGAGCGTTGGTTCCCGGGCAAGATGGACTACATCGGCCACTCCCACCAGTGGTGGCATGTGCTGGTATTGGGAGCGCTCTACTACTGGCATAACTCCGGCATGATGTACGTCCAGTACCGCATGAACCATGGTTGTGCTAACACCATGCGGATTTTCTAAACATACTCTGTTAACTTTGAAGAGTTCTAACTATAAACATCAGGATGTTTCAAACTATCCAAAATTAATATTATTTTCGATATGTTAATAGCATCAATCATATTTGTATAACATTGTTGATTTATCAGCAAAATATCAAAACATAATTGAAATTTAAAACACAAATGTTTTGCTGTATTCAAATATCGAAATAATATTTTTTAGACTACAGAAACATCCCAATTAAGGACCAATGCGAATCCCATGTGGGTTCTGCCTTAAACTTGCCTAGGCGAGAACAGGTTTTAAGGAAAAAATGCCTTATTTTAAAGGCTGTAAAAGCCCTAATACAATAAAACCTCGTTTTAAGTATTTTATAGTAGTTAGGAGGAATTATAAAACGTTAGAAAAATTCAGCATGTGTGATAAACAATTGCTCGACATGACGTTCCTAAAAGGAACTAAAAAAAGATTAGTAAAATTTGAAAAGGTTGTATCATTTTACTCAGTTTTAGGAATGATTACTTTATTTTCATTGCTGTAAAATTTAAAATTTAAAATCGCAAAATCTTATATAATTATGTACAGTTTCTTATATATCAGTTCAAAATGTGGTAATACTCATATGCAGCTCAAGTTTTTGCATTCCGTTATTTATATTTTAAGACTGAAAAGGGTCCATTTTATTTTGATTACAAAACACTAGGTGTGGCCTTATTTTTAGCAGCTGATGTTTAGCTTGAATCTCATATTGATTAGTAATGTCTATGTAAAGAAAGTTAAGAGGGTGGAAGAAAAAGGTTTACTGCATCATATTTTCCTATAACATAAGGTCTGCATAGCTGAGACACTATTGTCTATTCAGTGCAACAATCAATATGGAATTGTGTAAAAAATCAACAGATTACTTCATACAATTGAACTATAGAGTACTTTTTAAGAGCTCCCTTAAAAACTATGTCAAATAACCTATAAAGAAGACTTAGAGAGTTCCCTGTGAGGCGGTTAAATCAGACGAACAGTTATGCCCTGTCTGTGCAGGCCCTATGACAAAATATAAACATGTGTAGTTGAATAAAGTTCAAAATTAATTATTATGTTTAACGTTTTACTCGCGTACTCGAATGAACTCATTTTGTATAATCTCAAGTTGATTCAAGGTAGCACAAGGCTAAACCTTAAATTGAACAATCTGTATTATTTTGTCTTGAAGAAAAAAATATCTGTTTGCCAAAGAACTCTAGTAGTTTCAAATGTATTTCGCGATACAAGATGCAGCATTCGTGCTGCTTGTGAATAAGAGCTCCCAGCGTGGCTTGAAACTTTTCCGAATTCCTTGTGAAACTGTTTTTGAGTAAGTCGTTAAACATAATAATTTATTTAGTACCTTTGTATCCTATGTCCTGGTTATAATAACAAAAATCTATTAGGTATGTCACAAAATAATGACGACTTTTATGAAAAAACAGATCTGATTTACATTGTTACAAAAATATGAGACTAATTTTAACTAGTTTTATTTTGAAGCTTAATTACATGTTAATAAGTAATGATGAATTAAACGTATAAATGTAAGTTTGTTATATATCTTTTTTTACTCTTTGACATCTGTGATTCAATTGAAAACATGTTTACGTTTTTAATTGTAATTTTACTTTATTTATATTGTTTTAAGCTATTGTTATTATTAATTTTATATTCTATGGGTTGGTTGCTGGGTTTTGTATGATGGAACATAAATGATGTAAAATGGTTATTGTTGTTTTATTTGGAATTGATTAGTACTTATGGACCAAACGATTCTTGAACAATGAACTACTATTTTTGTGTTTCCTGAAATCGACCTCTTTAGAAGTATCGTAAAAACCTGCATTCATTTTTCCAACTACCATATAAATTCTCATAATATGGTCCACCATGAAAAGGTCGTACATAAACAATATGTTCTTTAAAAGTTTAATTTAGTGCCATCTAGTGAGCAATAGCTGAAACAGCGACAGGATTTAATTTTAGTTGTAAGTTACTCCGAGTTATTAAGTGGGACGTCATTGTTTTGCTATTACACGAAAGATGGCGCTAGTAGAATCTGCTGTTCGTTTAGTAAGTTCGAAAATATCTGATCAACAAAATTAAAATTTTATACTAAGGTTACGTATTTTGAATAATTTTAGAGATATGATATGATCCATTATGAATTAGATATGATATGATCCATTATGAATAAAGTAAATTAAAAAATAGTATTTAATTTTATTCTTACCCTATCTACCTACATAAAAACTTTTAAGTCTGATGGGTTATTGAAACAATGTATTACTAAAAAAAAGTAGGTACCTTATCTGATTTTGATAATGGATCTTTCTAAATAGATTGGAACAATTGTAAAACTTAATAAGACTTTCATTCTTTTTTAAAAGTCACATAAGTCCATACAATACAGCTGTGTATCTAGGTAATCATTTTGTAATACAAACCAACGTTAGATACTATAAAAACTACAATAATAACAATATAACAACATCCAATAATATCCACAACAACGCACTGACAAACAGTAAAAACAAAAACTCATTTCAAATGCCAACAAGCAAACAAAACAAAACAATCACATCAATAACTGAAAAATAAAATTGAAAAGCTTTACTCCATCAAACAAAATAGTGATTTCACATATCAGTGAGTACGTATCCTTTTAGTTGTTGCATAAATGGATACTGTCAGCGTACACATTCGCGATCACACACCGAATAAACCGAAAGGTTTCGAAATGGAAAAACAAAAGATAAACGATCCAATATTTTCATTGCGCCGATGAATGGCTCCAGTGTTGATTCAACGTAGTGGAAAAATGATGCCTACTCTACCTATGTATGTGTGTACTGTGTACGTAGCTTTTTTGTCGTCGCGTACAATAATCCTTTGGGATGAGCGATGTTTAAAAGATTCGATAGTAAATAAATGAAGCTCTTGTTGACTTTATTTGTATAGGTTTTCACTATATCTAATAATGAATCTATTAACTTCTAATACTAATCATGCTGTTATAAAATGATCGATGCTGGTACAAGCACGGATCCAGCCTTCAAAAAAGGTTGTGGTCACAGCTACTAGAAAAACGGCTAAGTACGAGTCGGAGCATGGACATGCTCATTAACAATCATGCAAATCGTTTATGAACTTATGAATTAGATTTCCTTTTGTCTGAGCATCAGGACTTTGGCCTTAGGAATGTAAATAAACTCAGGAAGAATTCGGACACGATTTTTTCTAATTTCTAATAGTCAGTTTCGATCCAAACCTATTTCAATCACAAGTGTAATAAGGTTGTGGGCATGCCTATCGTGCCCACAACGGTGGATCCGCCCTTGTGCTGGTAAGTATCTAAGTACCTATTCTTGTACTTATTGCTGTTGTAATATGTGAAATTTTAGCCGTCCTAAAATGGACAATAATATACAAATGCTGCTTCATAAGTTCCACGACATTTTGTATCTGTGGATCTCGTACCAAAATCAAATTGTAGTAGTAAAGTGTGGCCATCGGCCAATCGGTCTGCTCGACCGGAGTGATTCCACAGCCTCACAGAAAACTGGCGTGAAACAACTGCAGCTTTGTGTTTCGCCGTGTGGTTACCAGAGGCCCACTCAGTCCTTCCCCACCCCCAATTCCTACTCCCCAAAAGGTCGGTAACGCACTCGTAACTCCTCCGTTGATGCGGGTGTCTATGGGCGGCGCTGATTGCTAACTATCGGATAATCCGTAAGCTTGTTCGCATTCCTTTCATATTAAAAAAAATCTACCTGACGATTAAACCTCTTGTCTGCCGATATATGAGTCATAATAGAAAACACATTGTGTCTCGCGTATATCTGCGCTCCGAGTTAAGGAAAAGAAAGACTTATGTCAACTGTTGAAGGTGTAACATCAGTCGATATTTGATTGGCAGATGCAAAAAGCTGCATCATGTATGTAGCTCACAAATTAGCTGGGTCAGTGAGCGACGCTAATCGAGTCCCGCTCGTCCCGTGGGACGGCGCGCGCGCTGACGGATTGCCGCGCGATTGACGACGACATCGCCGCCTCGTCGACGTCACGTGTCACTCCCGTTTTGTGTTACATTACTGATAACATTTTTGATCTTCTATCTTCCTCGCAAGGTTGCCAATTGGAATGTTTTTTTCGTTCTATCGCTTGTAGCAGTACATTTCAATTTCGTTCATGTTGGGAATTTGGGATTGCTTTTTTAATTCCTCTAGCTATCGAAACCTTTGACATTAAATTTGTTCTTGCTTTTTTATGTGATAGGTTGGTAAACAAGCCGACGGATTACTTGATGGTAAGCAATAAGCAACGCCTATAGGCACCCGCAATAACAGAGGAGTTACGAATGCGTTGCCAACCTTTTGCGGATTAGGGATTTGGAGATTTTGGGATTGGCGGAGGGAACCGGAGCCCCGGTAACCTCACTCACACGGCGAAACACAACGTTGTGGTTGTTTCACGCCGGTCTTCTGTGAGGGCGTGGTATCACTCCGGTCGAGCCGACCCATTCGTGCCGAAGCATGGCTCTCCCATACAAATTGCTTATAAATTATTTTAGATTTACCGAATGTCGCATGTTTAATAGAAAACAGAACTCATAAAAGACGGTATTTCAAAATTGAACCTTATCATTGAAACATTTTTTTGTGAATCGAACAATTTTTTTTTTGAGATACGACTCTTTTTTATTAAGCTTACGATATATTTGAGACATATCAGGGCTGGCAATCACAATAGTAAGCTATTATTACAACTATAAGTATTGACAAAACAAATTCTATTACCTAAATAACGTTAACAAAACAAACTCTAGGTACCTATAACCTTTCACTCAGCCAGGGTTGCGGGTTAGGGCAATAAAGTACCTCGACTTCGGCCAAAAGCAGGAGCAGGAACGGGTTTTCGGCATTCCCTGGGCAAAAGAAGTCATTCGATGATTTTCACCCCACAAAAAAAGGTATCACTTTTCACACGCTATATTTTATGTCAACTAAGGTCAGTAATTTTCTTTATAACTACTTAACTGCAGGCA